TGCAGGTGACAGAGTTGAGAAAAAACTCTCCACAGATGTAACAAGTCGAAATTTGTTGCCAGCATAAAAAACTACAAACTTAATGACAAAGTTCACTCGCCTTGGGACCAGTTAAGATCCATCATGTCATTATGATAAAGAAAAATCAAATGCCCTTCAGGCCTAACAATACCTTTCAGTCATCATATAGCTAACATGTCACTATGACACATGATGGACATCATCAATTTGTCTTTGTACGTATTTAGGTTTAAGCCATTTGGAAACTTCTACAGAAAACACATTCAATGTGGTATTATGTGGACTTAAAGCTCATGAATAATTCAGATTCACCTACATGACCGCTAAGACCATCATAACTGCCTTATAAAACTACTTACATGAAATAGTGGTGAACCACCTATAGTCACTTGTCAGTGATTTTTGTTCCAGCTTTACAGCTAAAAACTGGCACTTTTTCTATTTAAATATATACTCTTTTTCAAAAATGAAGAAAAAACAAGACTATCTTCCAAATTTGAAAAGAAGCATCACTTTTTTCATAATCTGTGAAATTCAGGAAGAATAAAAAACTGTTTAATGTTACTGACAGGTATGGGGAGTTTTCCTTTATTTCTTGTTTATATGACAGTAAATCCATAATTGATAAAAATTTCACCCATACAATATATTTTACTAATCAGTACTGTTATAATATCCCAACTGTCTGGCTTTTTACACTTATAATTGATAGGCCTCTTGTCTTGTTGTAGGCCAGATATGGTAACTAAACAAGTAAAACACTGGTTCAAATCCCAAACAGGGAAACTGACCTCAGGTTGCATTTGTGTTTTCCTTTGAGATAATTTTAACATTGATCTTGAAAGTTGAAATGCTTTCCATGAGACAGAGAGAGTATATCTTGCAGAAAATTACCAGAGTTTAGTTGTCCATGTACAAGATTTTGCTGCAGAAGGAAGTTTCCTTTAGCTCAACCATTAGATGAATAGACCTACTACTTAACTCTAAAGAAGAAAAATTGTGGCCTTCCTTAATTTTTTATAATTAACTTCAAAATAAGTTTTTGAGATTGTACAGGCCAGCGACCATATCTTGACTGTTTTCAAACTGTACAGACCAGCGACCATATCCTAACTGTTTTCAGATTGTACAGGCCAGCGACCACATCCTAACTGTTTTCATATTGTACAGGCCAGTGACCACATCCTAACTGTTTTCAGATTGTACAGGCCAGTGACCACATCCTGTTTTCAGATTGTACAGGCCAGCGACCACATCCTAACTGTTTTCATATTGTACAGGCCAGTGACCACATCCTAACTGTTTTCAGATTGTACAGGCCAGTGACCACATCCTGTTTTCAGATTGTACAGGCCAGTGACCACATCATGTTTTCAGATTGTGCAGGCCAGTGACCACATCCTGTTTTCAAATTGTACAGGCCAGTGACCATATCCTGTTTTCAGATTGTACAGGCCAGTGACCACATCCTGTTTTCAGATTGTACAGGCCAGTGACCACATCCTGTTTTCAATTTGTACAGGCCAGCGACCACATCCTAACTGTTTTCAGATTGTACAGACCAGTGACCACATCCTGTTTTCAGATTGTACAGGCCAGCGACCACATCCTAACTGTTTTCAGATTGTACAGGCCAGTGACCACATCCTAACTGTTTTCAGATTGTACAGGCCAGTGACCACATCCTGTTTTCAGATTGCACAGGCCAGTGACCACATCCTGTTTTCAGATTGTACAGGCCAGTGACCACATCCTAACTGTTTTCAGACTGTACAGGCCAGCGACCACATCCTAACTGTTTTCAGATTGTACAGGCCAGCGACCACATCCTGTTTTCAGATTGCACAGGCCAGTGACCACATCCTGTTTTCAGATTGTACAGGCCAGCGACCACATCCTAACTGTTTTCAGATTGTACAGGCCAGTGACCACATCCTGTTTTCAGATTGCACAGGCCAGTGACCACATCCTGTTTTCAGATTGTACAGGCCAGCGACCACATCCTAACTGTTTTCATATTGTACAGGCCAGTGACCACATCCTAACTGTTTTCAGATTGTACAGACCAGTGACCACATCCTGTTTTCAGATTGTACAGGCCAGCGACCACATCCTAACTGTTTTCATATTGTACAGGCCAGTGACCACATCCTAACTGTTTTCAGATTGTACAGGCCAGTGACCACATCCTGTTTTCAGATTGTACAGGCCAGTGACCACATCCTGTTTTCAGATTGTGCAGGCCAGCGACCACATCCTGTTTTCAAATTGTACAGGCCAGTGACCATATCCTGTTTTCAGATTGTACAGGCCAGTGACCACATCCTGTTTTCAGATTGTACAGGCCAGTGACCACATCCTGTTTTCAATTTGTACAGGCCAGCGACCACATCCTAACTGTTTTCAGATTGTACAGACCAGTGACCACATCCTGTTTTCAGATTGTACAGGCCAGCGACCACATCCTAACTGTTTTCAGATTGTACAGGCCAGTGACCACATCCTAACTGTTTTCAGATTGTACAGGCCAGTGACCACATCCTGTTTTCAGATTGCACAGGCCAGTGACCACATCCTGTTTTCAGATTGTACAGGCCAGCGACCATATCCTAACTGTTTTCAGACTGTACAGGCCAGCGACCACATCCTAACTGTTTTCAGATTGTACAGGCCAGCGACCACATCCTGTTTTCAGATTGTACAGGCCAGTGACTACATCCTAACTGTTTTTCCTTTGAATGCAACACATGTTACTGACAAGACTTATACAAGTTCGGAGTCTTTTGTTTGAAAGACCAAAAAAAAAAAAGAACCATAACTCTGCATATACAGATAGTGCTAGAAGAAGAATACCCATTTGACCCACTTTTTATATGACACTACAACATTGAAAGAGGTGTTTCTAATAAAAACCATTGCAATAATTGGCAATGAGCATATGATATGCCCAAAAGTAGTAACCATGTACGATGTACAATGTACAATGGCCGATAGCAGCCGACAAAACAGTCCTATTAGTAAAACAGTGTTCTGTCTGACACTTTGTCAATTTACTAGGAGACAGTTTCCACATTTTAAGAAAGTGTAAACTGCCATGACACTTGGGAAATTCATGCAGGGCAGTTTAGACTTTTCACTTTCATGAAATGGTCCATGTTGGCACAAAGGGATTGAGGAGTGCAGCCAAAATTTGGAAAATTTAGTAAGTTCATTACAATCTTTCTTCTTCAGAGGGAAAGAAAAGAAGATAGTGCTCAATTTTTTGTCTGGTGCTTGCTTGGATGACATGGATTCATTTTGTGTAACTGGTGAGTCTCTGTCTCCTTGGGCAGGAGAGGCAATGCCATATATGGAAAAAGAACAAATTATCAAAATCTCTTTTCTTCTGTAGAAATGCCAAGATTCTGTCCAAATTTTGTCTGAAGCATCCATGGGGACAGAGACTTCATTTTTTTTTAAAATGATGAGTCTCACCGTCCCCAGGACTTGTGTCCCAATTAGATATGTTGATGTAATCTCTGAAATACATCTCCCTCTGTTGCAATAAAAGTATTTTGACCAAATTTTATTTGAAATATCCTTGAGCGAATGGGTCTGCAGACATATGTAGTTGTTCATGAACAATTTAACCTCATTTTAACTTATTGCTTTGTACTGTAGTCTTTTTTACAATAAATCAGTGATGCCCTGTCACCAGTTATTGAGACTAAGAAATCCTCTTAGCTCTCATAATGTAGCCCAAGTTAGCCTTAGTTACCTCCTCCTCAATGTTTATTTTTTGAAAGCTTATGGGTAAACTGTGTCATAACAGTTTCGCAAAATGTGTAACCTGTCTCCTAGTAAATTGACAACATGTCAGACAGAGCACTTTATACAAATATGAGTGTTTTGTCAGCCACTATCAGCCAGCCATCTTCAACATGTGCTGAAGACAGGATTTTCGTATCTCTAAAAGCCCAGCAAAAATATTATATTATGAATACTTAATGATAAGAGTCACATACTTGGTACAATTGTAAATGTCAGATATATGCAGAGGTTCCCGTGAATATGTTCCAAGAAGCATCTGTATGAAGATTCTGAAATAACTTATCACTGTACATGCTAAAAACATTAAGATATTGCTTCCTTAGAAATTCTTCATTTTTTTTCGTCTGAACTAGGTCAGTATATAAAATATTGCTGATCTAGAGAACTCAATCTGCAAAACAGTATTCAGGGGATGGACAGAAAGAAAGTTGGTGTTTTTTGTTTTTTTTTTTTTTTTAGAAAGAGAGATTGCCAAGGTAGGTCTCTAGCCTACAAAACAATGCAAGTCTACTTATGTTGTATCTGCCTTTTGGACCTATCCTCTATAGGCAGCTCTGAAAATTTTCTACAAGAAATCTCAGTTTTAATTGATTAGGAATGTTATATTAAAGGGTGAGACTACAATGTTGGCCAGGTAATGACAAACTGTTTACAAAGGATATGTGTGTAACAACATTACTGGGATCACTATGTTTACTGGGGCTTTTTTTTTATCATCAACTCAAAAATTTATTTGAAAAATCTACATTTTCCTGTAGCTGCTGAGTAAATTTTCTTTTCTCATATATTTTAATGGTAATCTAAATTGTAACAAATTTTCTGATACAGTGTATAATATTTACATCCTCAATTTGTACACTTCTGACTCTCAGCGTGGACCGAAATTGAACCTTATTGTTGTCATCCATCTGACCACTTGACCGTGACCCTAACGCCTAAATTTAGAATGGTTGATCATTTAGCCCAAATACAGAACAACATCAGTAGCACGTAGCATGTTCAACTATGCTGCAGTTAAAATATCGTATAAATGTACATGTGTGCTTACGTCAGCTTACTTGCGTCTGGCACCTGATGTCAAGAGACACTTTGTGTAAACAGACGGAAGGGAGCCTCCGTCATGTGCCTTAGACACTACTTTCTTTGATACAAAGACGGTACAAACTCACCTTCGGTGCCTCAGTTGTTGAAACTGCTGCATCGCCGTGCTGTAGTTTAAGATTGCCTTTGTTTATCAAGTATATTGAACTAAACATAAATATGGTCCCTGTAATGGCGAGTAGTGTCCAACGAGCCCTCATGTCTGAGCTCTGCTTTCTGACGGCAGATTTTCACCGTTACACACTCCTCTTCCACGCGAGCATTCGTACGGGTTAGCACGTTATTAGTGAGTGAGGCGCCCACAGGGAAGCTTGTGGTCAAAAATCCACATCATGGAAGTCATTACTAGAACGCCGGAAAAGCCCCACCGTATATCGGCGGAACATAAAAATAGGTTGCATAAAGTGACTGCTGTAATGACAGTGTGTCATATAATACATGTGTGTAACACGCGTACGCACCGAGTCGTATAAGATATCACATGTGCGATATTGTACTATTTTTTTTAACAAATTAGCGAATGGGATATGTTTTTTTATTCAATAAAGTTAAATTGTGATTCATGGAACCAGTTTCTAAATATAACTATTCCACGAAGTATTGGACATCAAACGTACTGTGATGACATCAGATTCTGGTTTATCCAAGCTGTTTGTAAACAACATACTTCCAAGCCGGTCTTTCGAGTTTGGGATGTACTATTATCCAAATTCTAGACTGTCAAAATCCCACTCACAGATACCATTCAAATTTATAAGTAAAATTAAAATAATTGTGACGGATGTTCCTGAAATTATGTTCATACACCATAAATACATGTTTAAAAAATAACAATTAATCAACCAATTAATTAAACTGACCCTTTACTTTCAGAACAGCTGATTTCTTCTTAATAGTTCCTAACCCAGCCATTTTCACTCCCCTCCCTTTAGAATATACTTATTTTAACTCACACAAAAGTGACCAAAAACATTTCATCGGAAGTTTCATATAGACTGTAGTAATTCCTTGAAACAATATATAATGCAAAGCAGAGATTTCATGAGAGTAATTAAGTTAAGTCGTTATAAAGGTTACTCGGTATATTTTGTATGGGAACACACAGCCACAGGTAACATACTAGCGGGATCTATATATAGTTCTATATGAACTGCGTCTTTCATAATTTCGTTGAAACTCGCCATATTTTAACAAAGGGGTCGGAAGTCGGGAATAAGTTACACATTACACATTGTCAATTATAACACTGACATATTATTTTGACAAAGTTCCATTTTTACCGTTTCTGAGAAAGAACTCTATATATACAAAATGTATTTTCAATTACTCCAATTTTTCTCGCTTATTTTTTTTTAAATAATTAAAGCACCGCTAAATTGTGTCAATATACCATGTCAACATGCAGTTTATAATAAGAGAGAAACGTTCATAGAACCAGTAAAGATCTTTCTATAATGAACCGCTAAGATCCCTCTTACATCTCTTGTCTAATGCCTTTGTTATATAGATATACGATTATAACAGTATATCTACTTGGACGTAATGGTTCTGTTTATTTACATACCAAGACAAAAATCTTCCAAACACGTATCTATATCTATTTTGGTGTCACAATCCAGATAAAGAAGAGAGGTATGACAAATTGATGTACATGCCTTCGACATATTTGTTCAAGAATACAAATATTTTCATCCATATCTGCAATTTATCCAAAAGGAAGTGGACAAAACATCATGGTCATAAATTCTAGCATTTCAATCCACTTTATAGCTGATAACCCTGAACTACAGAAAACAATAACAAGTTTAAGTACTGTAATTATTAAATGTTCCTTCATTAGGACTATAAATGTAAATAGACTTGAGAGTAAGTCTTAAAAATATACCCGTTCAATGCCACTTTGTCAGAAGAAAAGCTTAGGTATAGGGCAGGAGATTGGAAACAGTGTGGAAACCAGGAGCTATGGGGGTGGGCACTGGGAATGAGGGACCCGAATCTAAAAAAAAACCGACTAATGACAATCACATCTATGCCAGTGTATATGATTCGCTAGGAATAAAGGAGTTATTCCCCTTACACCACAAATCGGAACTTCGGCCGTATATGGTTGCGCGTTTTTTTAAACGACATCGGTTTATGTAATAGAAGATAATTCCCAGTATTATTGTAGAAGAACAAAGATAACTAACTTTATAACGACAGGAAACTCTGCATTTTTTCTTCCGCTTCATTTTAAGAAATTATAGTAGAATTACTTCTTCACTTATAATTAATCGACAGAGAACAAACTTGATCTTTGCGGCCATATTTATGTGATAATTCTGATCGGTCACGGAAAGGGGACAATTTATTTATTTATAATATTTGAATATATCAGACTAGAGATGAAGATTTTCACTTTGGTGACACTTCTTTAATTAACCTTCTTCAATAAACAAGAAGAAATAATAAGTAGAAATTATGATATAACCATTTAACAAACAGGGCGTTGGGCAATTGTAGTGATTGGCAGCTAGGATTTCTCGGCGTGATCATAATGACACATCGTCAATTATCGATATACACACCTTGATCGTACAGAAAGAAACGTTCATCGAGTATGGTAGAGTAACGACAGGCAAACATTGCCAGAAACCTTGCATTGTTTTATCATAGAATCGATTTAATATGAAATTGACCTTTGACAGTGACATCATGACCACACACGAACAAAACACATCGTATAAATCTCTGAAAAAAATCATATTTCACAGAATACATCATTTACTTTTCAAATCATATCAATATATATCCCGTAATTTGCAGGATTCCGAATTGGAGGGGGCGCACGTTTCCAAGTGTTTTTTATTGTTTTGTTTTTTTAGTGTGTCCGGTACATACGACATACATTTCAAATGATCAGTGATTGCATGGAACGGCAGAAAATCCTCAAAATGTTTAACTAAGATATAAGGCATATGTTGTTGTGGTATAAACAAAGGGACTGTCCTGTATACACATAGGCTATATGTATGGTACCCCTCCCCTCAGGACCTATTCTTACATAATTGACGGCAATCATACGAACAATGATAGTTTTTTCAAAGCATGATTCGAGACAAAGCCTATTTTTTTTCATGGATACAAGTAAATAATGTCATCAGTGCGTATGTTTTGAAGTGGCGAAGGCACATAATACATGTGATGATGGCTTTCCAGGTTTTTCTTTGCCCGTGACTCGTATCTCCGTCGCTGACATGACTGTTGGTTGGTGATGCCGGGTTTTTGTTTGCTTCAATTACTTCTTGCTTATCTTTATTATTTTTTATTGACATTTCTTGTATCGATATAAGAATAAAATGATACTTAAACATAGTTATATCGTTAATTTGTCAACATCTTAACGGGGTAGAATCCAATTAATATTGAAGTTATAACATCACTTACCACGCCTAGAAATCTACAGCTCAAGATATCTCAGTCAGGAAAATCACTATATCATACTGCAATGTCCATCGCATGAGGTCAAGAGAATCATACGCCCATAGTAACTATTAATATCGGAGACCTTGCTACTTTTATCAACATGGTCCAGTGAGTTTTTGTTTCATTCTAACTTACTTTGCTTAGTAGTATGTTGGACCTTAAAATCTGATGAATAAAGCTTTCGAGGTCGGTAATGCAAATCGTACACGTCTTTAATTTGATTGTGATCATTTATTTATACGTCTGAACAGAACTATATTCCGTCAAAGAATCACATTGACCATTAATGCTTTCGCAACATAGATGGTCATGCTACTCATGTCAAATTATAAACTTTCGAGAATAACGACCTTGTGACCTTTGACCTTGTACTTCCTTTGATTCCAATAAACAGTGTTACGTCCAACTCCAGTGTTGTTCAATATCTTCCTCCTTCCCAACTTTAATTAGCTTAACTGTTTTCATACCATCATCCTGGAATATCGGACAGATTTATTAAAATACCGACAGTCAAAACCAATATAGCAGTCGATATGGCTATTACTTTTCCCATCAGGAAACGAAAGCTGTTTCACAATTTGGGGTCCTTAAATAATGTGAGAAGCAATGATGTAATTTGACTGTAATTCAAGATGGCCAGTCTTTGCACTATGCATATGCATGTATACAAATGTATGTTCAATTTTGAACTGGAGAACCCACACAATAGTATGTGCAAAACTTCGGAAAGATCTCAAAAATGCTTTTCAAGAAATCAACAAATTCTGCCATGAATTTCAAGATGGCCAAGTACATTTTGTATTGTGTACCTGTGAATTAAAGATATTTTGTGCTGACCCGAGACAGAATATGTGCCGAGGAGCTAAAACTGGTGCGTTTTCTAAATCAAAATCAAAATAATCAAATTTCTAAGACAAACAGCTTGTTCACAGGCCCAGACCATGGATTAAAGGCAACTTGACAACACAAAAAAAAAATCTCATGCTCTACGACACAAGGGCCACAGATGCAGGTTATGCTCCGCGAATGGGACAAATTTTTAAGTATGAAAAATAACAAAGGGCAATAAGAGTTATGATTCTTTTGCCCTCCTTCTTTCAAGATCCATCTACATATGAGGTTCCAAGTTGATACCTCTTATAATTTTTAATTTAATGCTCTGGACAAAATTTAAGCATGAAAAAAACAAAGGGCAATAATTCCTAAATTATACAAAAGAGAGTAATGGTTCTGGTGCACTGCACTTCTCCTTGTTGAGATCTATCTACTTATGAAGTATTATGTTGACACCTCTTATAGTAATTGTGTTATGCTCTGGACAAAATTATGACAGATGGACAAGCAAACGGACGGATGGACAAATCAAAGTCTATATGCTCCCCAACAAAGTGAGCATAAAAATAGTTCAAATTCAAAATCAAATGCAGCAAAAATATTTCATTATTTCTTCTTTTATTCTTGTAACAAATAACTACACATATAGACAAATGCAATTATGCAGTATAAAATTGATTTATGTATACACTATGTAACATGAATAATAAACTGATACCAAACAGGAAACATTAAAATAAAACATAAAGAGAATAATAATAATCCATGAAAATATACATCAATTTCATCGTTAATATGACTTAACAAGATTGCACAGGAGATATTTTTACTCAGATGAGGACTTAATAAACTGCACATATTAAGATTATTTTTTTTCAAAGGTTGTACAGTATTGAAATTTCATCTTTAGTAACTCTCTAATGCTGTTAATACGATCAACATGTAAGCTATCATGGAATAAAAACAAAAACTTGTATAGTATGAAATACTTTGGCCCATATTCTCTCCATTCATTATTGAGCATTTCCAATATAGCTGAAATCCAAAATAAATGAATTTATGAAAATCAATTATAAAATAACTTACTTACTAATCATTTTTTATGTGACACATATATTTCAGTGTTGATCGACATCATTTATAAATCATTAGTTGAATCACAAGTAAGATATCCAGAAGGTCGTTCCATGTTGTACATGAATCGAAACAAGTTTACACCACATAGACTTTCAATGGGTTCACCCTGGCACACAAATTGCATTTTCTCAAAGAAGCCTACAGCTTTCTCTGCACTTTGCAATCGAATAGGTCGAACAGACTTCTCTCCAATAATTTTCATTAATTTTGAAAATAACCGCTGCCCAATTCCCATTCCTTGGAAATCATACTTCACAAACATAAATGTCACCTGATGAAAATACTCCGAATCAAATGTTATTCCTGGTGATGTCAACTTTTCATCAGCAATTTGAAAACTGATTTCCCCAATCAACGTTTCTTTGCCATGATGCTTCTGGTATGCAAATAAAACACGGTTGTCTTCTGGTATGTCAAAAACTTCACCGCAGACCTCTCTTGCTAGTTGTCTGAAGCGACGCCTGTTCCTAGCGTTTCTTACTTCTTCCTTTACATAATAATGAGCATCTACCAAAACAGAAGGTCAAAGGTTAATTCACTAATTAAAATGTGTCTATACAAATGTAGAATACATAAACATCATTAAAAGATCGTGTGTATAGAACATCTTTTCCACTTTACATAAAGTATCATAATGCAGGTCTAGGCTTTTCATTGCAATTAAAAACAAACTTCAAAATACATCTTAACAGTGTTTACCAGTATGTAGGAACCACATCCCTTTTAATTTACATTGATACAAAACCCAGTCAAAATTAATCACAACAGATTCTAAAGGGGTCTTGGCACCCCTACACGAGATTATGAGGATCAATGAATTTGGGGCTTTAAAACTGACTACAATGTTCATTTAATTGTAAGTATTACAGGAAAGGGATAAGTCAAACTCAACCAAGACTCTTGATCAATCACTCAGTCGTTTAAATGTTAAACACTATACTTTCATATGCTCGATTCTGGCCATAATTCATTGATCATAAAACATCAGAATAACATGATAAATATGTGTCAAGGTCACGAGTCATATTTTGAAATAATAATGGAACAGGTAGGTCGGGGTGGTTTACAAAGTGTTAAATATGGTCTCTGTCAATTAGCAGACAAAACACATGCTTCTAATCCTCAGATGGTAGTTATGGATTATCACACAAGAGAGCCCGATTCAATTCCTGTTTAGGCACCATGCAGGATTGTTTTTTCCTGTTCTATTACATGCATTTAACCTTTAAACCTTTGTGCCAGAAGTGAAATCCATATAGTACTTTTACAAATATTAAACTTGACTGTCATTACCTTGACCTTTCATTAATAACCTTGGTCTACTGCCTCTGAGGAACAAGACACCTATACATGTAGCTGGTCCTTGCCTCTTGTTAAGTACCATTCCAAAACTATTCAGTTAAGATACCATTCATACTAGCATCATTTCACCTTCTCAATACAGATGGACTCTTCTTCTTTAGTATAAATAATGCCAATTCTGCACTTCAACAAAATTTTCCACAAAAAAAATGAAGAAATGCAATATCGTTACTGACAGGCATCTTTGATAGGTGCCACCAATAACAGGAGAGGGGAAAGTTGCCATCTAGACTAGACCTGAACTTTTGGCCTTCAAAGTCCAAAAGGGTGACCTAATTATACATTTATGCGCATGTACGAAAATATACATCAATTGAATGGTTTGCACTGATGTTTTGACCCCTACTTGGACACCTCAAATTCCTTCTACCCCTACTTAGTCAGATTCTTCCAATCTATAAAATTTGATTTAGAATGTTTAAAAGCTGCTTTGTTTAAAACAAACAATACCATCATCTTTAAGAAGCTGTTTGACAGTTTTACACCAAGTGGCCCCATTCCGCAGTGAACATGTATAGATTCTGATGTTTTAATCTCTATACCACAAAACCCTTTTTACTTGCGCAGGATCAGATAGCAGTGGAGCTCAGAATTTCTAGATAAACTGAAATTTTATATCCTGGGACCTATTGTTTTTAGCAATTAAGTTGAAAAGGACTTGTGAATGTAATTGAAGATTGGTCACAGAATCTCTAGAGTGCAATGTAAACTGCAACAGTATATTCCTTGTGAAGTGACGAAGAATTAAAAGAACATTCATATGTTGATAAAATTCCAACAGTTTTACAAAAGCAGTCGTAAGTTTATTTCCTAATATCCTATGCTATAATATTCACACTCCAAATTTTCATAATGCTTCAAAAGTATGATTACTCAAAATCCCGAGCACTTGTTTATCCAAAAAGGTTCGTGACCCTAGAACACTTTTACATGACAAACATTATGGGAAAAACTACGATTTATTCTTTAACGGACGACGAAAGAATGTTAGCCGCAGTATATTACTAAGTAATGGATAAAGCCTTCTTACGCGACATCGCTTGGTCTAATATTTCAGTAATTGTCATTGACTGGCTACGTGGTGGATTTCCCGCCAAGTGTAACGGAAGTACTGGTTTAGCCTGTAACCCAAAATGCTACCAACATAAACGGCATTAGAGATTAAGTAGTCATAACAACAACACAAAACTTCGCAATAATGACGACGTTGTAAATTTTGAGCTCAAACTTTTTACCTAACATATCAATCCGCACCGAACAAATTTATCATTATTGCAAATTATATTTATATCATATATTACATTTCAATACACCAGTCTAACTATGATGGAAGTGTTTTGATATTGCAAGTTCATAAAATGCATATTATGACAGCATTGATTTATTTAGAAAAAGTACGTATGAATCTCTCGGAGGAATTTCGGGTAGTGAAGTGGTTGTTTTTCAATGGTGGATCGCTTGATTTGAGAAACTGAAAATCCTGATGTTGTAGGAACATGAATTCAGAAATTGAGCCCCACATTAGTAAAAAATATGAAATCAAAAAGAGACTGGGAAAAGGGGTAAGTCAGAGAAAGTTGTATTTGATATTATGTATACTTTATGCTATAATACCTTTGTTTCGGCGTCATGTCATTCCGACAGAATAGCTGAAAATCGATGTGTTGAAGCTTGCATTTCTAAAATATATCTTAGGCGATTCTTCAATATCTGCACCCCACGCTACTGATAATCTCATGACGGGGCATTTTATAATTGTTCTTATTGGAAAAGACAATATGAAATCATTTTTGTAAATCATAAATAAAAATTTTAAAAACTTTCAGATCGTGGACTGACGTGTTAGCGTGGGCGTACCATGATTCAGTTGGAAAGAGCTAGCGATTGAAAATAATTTCATAACATTGCATGCATTCTTCTTCTGTTTTGGATCGATTTTACAGTGTTAAAATATTTTGAAGGTATCTTTTGAAGATGTATTATTGTTGATACATAAGTTTTGTAATAAACTTGCTGTGCAGGTGCTTGCTGTGAGAGAATAAGAAATGGCAAATTGCCAATAATATAGTAGGAAAAATCTGAAATAAACATGTCCTGTCCCCACATGGCCTCAATCAAGCAACCTCTTGTGTACTTCTACGTAAATTGGACGAAGAGAAATTCCCACTAGCCAGATATGGTTAACAAGGACAGGAGAAAATTCAATTAAAACAATTGATATAGTATGCAAATAATCGTTTCAGGAATTGCTCTGAACAATTTCCTTGTTCACTTTCGCTATGAAAAATTAATAACCAGTATTGACTTTCTTGGCATACAGTACACTTTTCTAAAGAGAAACTTGCACTAACTGAGACTGAAAAGGGTTTACGATATAAGAAAGTTAAATTTATCTTGCCTGGTAGAAATGTATATTTTAACGATCATCAAATGAGCACTGTATATAGTGACAACCAGGCATGCTTTATTAATTTATTTTACCAAGCTATGAAACCTTAAGCTATAACAGTGAAAGTCTTAAGTGAAATTCAGGGAAAATAATCCTTGAATGTTTTAAAATGCAAACATCTGTGTGACCAAAATTTTGGATGCACATAACACCTGTAAATTGTTTTCCTTTCTAGGATATCATACTTTTTATGAAGTCTTTGGTTTGGTTCAGTTGTTCATGTAATGTTTAATATAAAATGCTAAATGAATATTACTTCCATCATTTGACTGGAGCTTCATTCTAGATTTCAAGATGTCACTGAATTCTCCCGTTTCTCTGTTGGAAATTCAATTATTCTAAGAGAAGACATTATTTATTTCAATGCCTCCGCCAGGAATCAAATACGGAACCCCTAGTTAACTAGCCTTATGCTTAACCAATCAAGCTAAAGAGAAGTTCTCTCTAGCCGAGTGTTATATTGCGGCTAGTATTTTACCAGGGTTACATACTCCCCTTCCAGGAAATAACTTGTTCTCAAGTTTTCAGGGGTTAAAGTGATGCTGGTGGGGCATGGCTAAGTACTATTCCCGGGTCCCTAAATGGGTGCCAATGTAGCAGAGATCATTATTTATTTCAATGCCTCTGCTAGGAATTAAACCTGGGACCCCTGGCTTACTAGTCTGATGCTGAACTAATCAAGCTAAAGAGAAGTTCTCTCTAGCCAAGTGGTATATTGCGGCTAGTTATTTTACCAGGGTTTCATTATAGTGAAGTCGCGATTCCGTTTCTAATTTCTAATAAAACTTGCTGTCTCTAGTGTAATAAAACTTAGTGAAAAGACTTCTACAATCATTACTGATATTTATGATTATATTTCTAGGCCTATGGGATCGTATGGAAGGCTGTTGATCGGAGGACGGGGGAAGTGGTTGCTGTTAAGAAAATATTTGATGCCTTCAGAAACCAGACAGACGCTCAGGTTTTTATCAATGATTTCTAAATACATTTTTATATATTGATTTTAATTTTGTTTTTCTTTCCATGTTTAACTGAAATACTTTCATATTTTTTATGTTCGTAAAAGTTGACTCTTAAAGTTATGGGCACCTTTTTGGGGATTATTGCTTTGTATCTCGTGATAGAATTATGTGGTAAATGTGTATTTAAATGCCCTGGGGCATACCTACAATTTTCCTCTCCAAAGAAATATAATAAAAGTCAGTTTTAAGAGCTGTGTACACTATTTGTTTTAGTAAAAAATGAAGATGATTTTTATTTCACATCATTGGGTTCTATGTAAGAATTTGAGTATGGCTATATTTTCTGTGCCATGGTCCACTGATAAGTGTTTTTCACTATTTTTTTACAGCGGACATTCCGTGAGATAATGTTTCTGCAGGAATTTGGAGACCACCCAAATATCATTAAGCTGCATAATGTTATTAAAGCTGAGAATGACAAAGATATCTATCTAGTGTTTGAATTTATGGGTAAGTCTTAAAAGTGAGATCAAAATCACTCAACTCTGTGTATGATTTTATCAGACCATTACAAGGGAGGAGAAAATAATGCAGGTTCAATGTTAGTATGATTTGCATTATATTTTTATCTGAAACCAGTGGCCTTTCTTGACAGGTATTTATAATATACAGGTGATCTTTATGTAGAGGTAAAATATTCCCATAATTTGCATTACATTTAGATCTGAAACCAGTGGCCTTTATAGACAGGTGATTTGTTATGTTTGCAGATGGCCGTTAAAAGCAGGTTGGACTGTAGTTGTTTCTACATTAATTAGTTTTTTTAAAGCAAATGAAAATGAGATATTTGTTTAGAAAAATTGTGATGTCAGCATATTAAACAGTATTGATAGCATTTCATAGCATTTACTATTGAAACTGTAGTAGATGAAGGTGGGCTTATTAGCAGTCATGGACTTATTGTCTTATAAATACAGTTGTTTCCTAAATTCATGGCAAAGTCAAAGGTCAAATCTGACAAAATATCTTCATCTGTCAAATTGTAATGAAAAAAATGTTTGCAGTTGTTTTAGAACGTGTAGATACTGAAATTTAAGTCTTTCTTATTTTGTTTTGACAGAAACTGATCTCCATAATGTGATCAAGCGAGGCAGTATCCTGCGTGACGTACACAAACGGTACATTATGTATCAGCTTTTGAAGGCTACTAAATACCTCCACTCTGGCAATGTAATCCACAGAGATAATAAGGTAGGTACTACGGGGTTACATATATGTATCTTGTTTGTCCTGTAATCTTATGTGATATGTTTTATACATTTTATATAAATTGTCTTCCAAGTTCATATAAAGGCACAAACATTTTTTGGTCTGGAATTAGTTTTCTTTATATTCTGCATCTGTTACAAAATTAAATAGGGGTTGAATTTAGTGTTAACCATGATCATCCATTGCGTTAATCTTCAGTTTAAATAGTGTCTTTAGAATCTCTCAACAAATTTACTTCATATTTTACCCCATGGTATCATTTTTTTTTTTTTTAATCTTAAACAAGATCTATAGAAAAACTAAGATTGGATGACTGGGTTTTTTATTTGCAGAAATGTATTGGATCTATCAAAGTTAAAGTTATGTCAATGGTAAAAATCAGAAGAAAAAAACAACTGTTTTCACATTTTATAGTCATAAACCAATTTTCTTCTGTGTTATTTGCATGTATTTTTTAATTGTGTCACCAGCCATCAAATGTGCTTCTGGACAGTGACTGTGTGGTAAAGGTGTGTGACTTCGGATTGGCTCGTTCCCTCACACAGATAGGGATAGACGCAGAGACTGGAGACCCAAACCTTACAGAATATGTGGCCACTCGGTGGTACAGAGCACCAGAGATCCTGTTGGCATCTCATAGGTACATATATGGCATTAAGTCTTGCTTTCAATGCCTCTCTATCTAACACTCTGTAAACTGCTTTATTTCTGTGTGATGTAATGCCCTGTTGTCATTAATTTATATATGAATTAACCTTTAGATGTACTTTACTAATGCATAAGTAAATATAGGTCACAATGACCTGCTCAGCCAATTATGGTCAGACTTCATGTTCAGCTTTTTTCGCCATCAAAATTTAAACTAAGGCTACATATATGTTGTAAAACAGAATTTCTACTTTGTTGGATGGTCTGATTCATGTAAATATGACTTTGGCTTATTAACTTATTTTTGCCATTGCTAAAATTCTTCGGTAATTTTATGCCATTCAATACTGATTTACCATTTCTTGTGTTTCTTTAACTCAATTCATCATGCACATTTCTTTTAAGTGTCCTCTGCACTTTTATCTTTAATTGCAATAGGTACACCAAGGGTGTGGATATGTGGAGTCTTGGCTGTATACTTGGAGAACTACTAGGAGGCAAGCCTCTCTTCCCAGGCTCCTCGACACTCAATCAAATAGAAAAAATCATGGCTGGTATCCCACCACCAACTAGAGAAGGTAAGATATACTAAATAGTATTAGGCATCCCTTGGTTAATTGATAGAACCTGTTACTTGTATGTGTCAGAGGTTGATTAATTGTGGCATTAAACAGATATTCTATACTTGTATGTGTCAGAGGTTGATTAATTGTGGCATTGAACAGATATTCTATACTTGTATGTGTCAGAGGTTGATTAATTGTGGCATTAAACAGATATTCTATACTTGTATGTGTCAGAGGTTGATTAATTGTGGCATTGAACAGATATTCTATACTTGTATGTGTCAGAGGTTGATTAATTGTGGCATTAAACAGATATTCTATACTTGTATGTGTCAGAGGTTGATTAATTGTGGCATTGAACAGATATTCTATACTTGTATGTGTCAGAAGTTGATTAATTGTGACATTGAGCAGATATACTTTAAAAAAGCTCATTCGAGGCAAATTGGAAATCAAGATGTAACAGAATATATGCCAGAGACTGAAATAAATTGATCTCAGATATTACAGAAGAGTGGTTCTGTTGTACATGATTTTAGTCAAAACTGCTTAAGCTTTCGCAAGAAGAACTTTGCAGTTCTAAATTATTATCTGATGAGATTATCTCCCTTTGCTGTTTCACATCAGAAATTAAGACAATTAGCTGTAGTGTTATTTCGTTTATGACATCGCTTGATGTAAATGTCACATAAAATTACCAGACAGACTGGATTAGATAAAGAAAACATTGGCAGAAGCTTTACAGATTTCAGAGAAAAATTATCATTTCACCAAACAGGAAGGGTTACATACAAAGCAAGAGGGTGGAATCCCTTTCGGTCTTTCTGTCTGAGACCTAAATCAACCATAAAGTTCTTTCTTTTACAATAATTTCAAGAGTTTAATGTATGATCTTCACCCACCATCTTTTGAAAATAATTTAGATAACTATTGAGAGATGTTTTATTTCTAACTCAGAAAAGGAAATAAGAGAGAGAAAAAAATTCAATATGATATGTAACTGAAAGTTTTTGGTATTATAAATAGAAAAATTCAGTTTCAAAATTTTTATTCTCTTTTTTTTTTAATTTTATTTATTTGTTATAATTCTCAATAGCCATTTATTGTTGTTAATTTCATTATGCATTTTAATTCTAGACATTGAGAGTATACGATCAGCCTATGGTTCCTCAGTGTTAGGAAAAGCTGCAGTTAAGTAAGTATAGTTTAAATACAACAGAATACACTGGTAGGTGTTAATCTATTGATACCAATTAAAAAATTTGATAGAGGAAATTATGAAGACTTGCCATTAATTAGGAAGGTATTCAGAGACATTTTCATTTGAAGTGAGGACATGTGATAATCAGTGTGAGGAATTAAAATGACACTTGTTGAAATCTTACTGTTGGATTATTTTAGTTTTTGACTTTTCATGGTTTTATATAATGACAAAAGTGCAATGAAATTTTCATCCTTCTAAATCAAATTCTCAAGATTACTTTGTTTAACAAACCCAATATAATACATTTTTCTCTAGCAAGGCGGTGAACAGTTTTAAAATGTACTTTCACAATGCAATTCAGGCATTTTGAATGACTTTTCAACAAGGCAAACTACTAAAGTACTTGAATAGATTTGTTTCTTTTACTGTGTCATTACTAATAAGGTTTTACACATGCACATTTTCAGTTTTGTTGAATCCTTTACTTTGCAGGCCTAAGAGAAGTTTTGAAGACATGCTACCAGAAGCTCCAAAGGAAGCCATAGACTTATTACGACGACTGTTACATTTTAACCCAGACAAACGTATAACTGCTGACGAAGGGCTACGCCATCCTTATGTATCGAGGTTAGTTTTTATAGCTGGGCAGTGGGGTAAAGATAATGATCTGGAAGTGCATGTCCACTATCATTATAATTTCTTGAACAGGGTTTTTATTGTGGCTTTTTTGGGGGCTGGTAATGGGCCCCATTTCCAATTGAAATTTTTCATATCTAAAGTCACAAAAATTCAATTAACTCCTGAAAATTCCTTCCTGATTCACAAAATTTCATCCCAAAATTAGGCCAAAATGTTGCATCCCAAAGCAGTGGAAAACCTTGTGAAGGAAAGGGGGCATCACCCATCCAAACTTCTGGTTAAATATCCTGATCATTTACTGACTTTTGTAAAAACTAGAATCAATAGTTTGAAGCCATCTCCTAATTTTAAAACAAGCTGAAATGGGGTTTTATTTATTGGTAGAGATGTTTGTGTTTGGATATGGTGTTTATGTAATGCTGAAATGGATAATTACTGCACTACAAAGCAGTACTTTAACTGAAACCATGAGGATATTTGTGACTTTTTTTATCCTGATAACATATTTGCTGAGTAGAAATTTTCTGTTGCAGGTTTCATAATCCATCAGAAGAAAAAAGTATAGATTATGATGTGGTCCCTCCCCTTAGTGATGATGTACAGTTAACTGTCGACGAATATAGAAACAAGTTATATGAGGTATAGTAATGGTGTACACTGAAAATGAAGCTTAAGAAAATTTGTGTAGTTAGCTGTGTACAGGTCTTTATATTGGTGCCAATAATCTTATTTACACAGATGTTAATATCACTCACACTGATAACAATATCAATTACATAGATGTCAATATCACTTTTACAGATGTCATTATTACTTCAACAAATGTCAATATCACACAGCCATCAATATCCCTCACAGACGTCAGTATTACATCAACAAATGTCAATATCACACAGCCATCAATATCCCTCCAACGTCAGTATTACTTCAACAAATGTCAATATCACACAGCCATCAATATCCCTCACAGACGTCAGTATTACTTCAACAAATGTCAATATCACACAGCCATCAATATCCATCACAGACGTCAGTATTACTTCAACAAATGTCAATATCACACAGCCATCAATATCCCTCCAACGTCAGTATTACTTCAACAAATGTCAATATCACACAGCCATCAATATCCCTCACAGACGTCAGTATTACATCAACAAATGTCAATATAACACAGCCATCAATATCCATCACAGACGTCAGTATTACTTCAACAAATGTCAATATCACACAGCTATCAATATCCCTCACAGATGTCAGTATTACTTCAACAAATGTCAATATCACACAGCCATCAATATCCCTCACAGATGTCAATGTCACACAGATATTAATATCACTTACACAGACATCAATATCACACAGACACCAATATCACTTACACAGATGTCAATATCACACAGACACCAATATCACTTGCACAGATGTCAATGTCACACAGACACCAATATCACTTACACAGATATAAATATCCCTTACACAGATGTCAATGTCACACAGATATTAATATCACTTACACAGACATCAATATCACACAGACACCAATATCCCTCACAGATGTCAGTATTACTTCAACAAATGTCAATATCACACAGCCATCAATATCCCTCACAGATGTCAGTATTACTTCAACAAATGTCAATATCACACAGCCATCAATATCCCTCACAGATGTCAATATCACACAGACACCAATATCACTTACACAGATGTCAATATCACTTACGCAGATATAAATATCCCTTACACAGATATAAATATCCCTTACACAGATGTCAATGTCACACAGATATTAATATCACTTACACAGACATCAATATCACACAGACACCAATATCACTTACACAGATGTCAATATCACACAGACACCAATATCACTTGCACAGATGTCAATATCACACAGACACCAATATCACTTACACAGATGTCAATATCACACAGACACCAATATCACTTACGCAGATATAAATATCCCTTACACAGATATAAATATCCCTTACACAGATGTCAATGTCACACAGATATTAATATCACTTACACAGACATCAATATCACACAGACACCAATATCACTTACACAGATGTCAATATCACACAGACACCAATATCACTTGCACAGATGTCAATATCACACAGACACCAATATCACTTACACAGATGTCAATATCACACAGACACCAATATCACTTACACAGATGTCAATATCACACAGTCACTGATATCCCTTACACAGATGTCAATATCCCTTAAACAGATGTCAGTATCCCTTACACAGATATTAATATCCCTTATACAGATGTCAATATCCCTTACACAGATATAAATATCACTTACACAGATGTCAATATCACTTACACAGATATTAATATCCCTTATACAGATGTCAATATCCCTTACACAGATATTAATATCACTTACACAGATGTCAATATCACACAGACATCAATATCACTTACACAGATGTCAATATCACACAGACATCAATATCACTTACACAGATGTCAATATCACACAGACACCAATATCACTTCCACAGATGTCAATATCACACAGACACCAATATCACGTGCACAGATGTCAATATCACACAGATATTAATATCACTTCCACAGATGTCAATATCACACAGACACCAATATCACGTGCACAGATGTCAATATCACACAGATATTAATATCACTTCCACGGATGTCAATATCACACAGACACCAATATCACTTACACAGATGTCAATATCCCTTACACAGATATAAATATCCCTTACACAGATGTCAATATCACACAGATATTAATATCACACGGACATCAATATCACTTACACAAATGTCAATATCACACAAACATTAATATCACTTATACAGATATCAGCCTCTCTGAAACAAGTGTCTAATCTTTTACACAAATTTCAGTTAAAATCAGTTTCTTTAACAATATAGGATAAACTATTTACAGATGATTATGCAAAAGAAACAGGAGCGTCGGAGGCGACGTCAGGAGATGAGGAGTGCCCCTCATCCAACTCGTGTACGCACAGAAAGTCCCCACCCTCCCAGTGAACCATACCACAAGGACACCTCTCCCAAAGGGGCATCCCCAAAAGTCTACAACAACAAACATGCAGGGGACGGCCCGCCACAATCCGCACCTCAACACCACTCATCATTTTCAGGTGAGAACAAGTCATACTTGCATGTGTTTGTGCTGGGTCACATGATCAAGTCCATGATTTCATTGCAAAGATGGTAATGTTGTCTGAACTGTTTGTAAAGCAGTAAGCAACTAAAATATTGTAAGTCACAAAATGGATTTGATATTGTGGGTGTACATATTCTATGTAGTTTCATCATTGGTGAAGTCAGTTTTGATATTAAATATATTCCAACCCACAGATGATACAGACAAGAAGAGAGGTATTCACAAACCAAAATCTTTGTAGCATTGAACATTATAACCATTCTGTATTTTGATCTTTAGCCTTTGGAAGAACAACACATGGTGATCAAGGGCCTCCACAATCCAAGTCGAGAAATGCCCGACGACCAAACAATGAGAACATGGAGAGAGCAGCGACGAATGCTGGTGTAAGTATAATTATCTTGCTTTCATTAATGTTAACCTTGTCTGTTATGCAGTGTATGTTACATTTTCTGACAATCACCACCCTTTCAAGTCTTCGTCTGTACCTACCGTCTTCTGATTCAGTAAAACTACTATAGGCAGAGAAACATGCATTGTACTTTACTTTTGTACTATAATAAATCTATTCATTTGCATCTGGTTTTTGAATTCGCATAAATATCTGTAAAAAGATATATTTCACCTTGAATATATGTCTGTAGCCCAACTTCTATTTTGACCCTAATTGCAAATGGATGAAATACAGCTATTTTGTCCCCGCGGCAAAATTTCACACATTTCAATGACGAGTGCTACCTGGCAATGGGATTACGATAGCCTGCTATCATAAGCTTTGTGTTACGGGGTTAATTAATGACTGGACACAGATTTAGATTTAATTGCTTACCTACAAGCCATGATCTTTTATCAAAGATAATGGGACATCGTGTGATGTTCACCGCGGCCATTGTGGTGATGGCATTTAGTCAGGTCTAATTTACAGAATTTTGAAAACAAACGAAAGAAATTTGATTACTTGTATGATGATTTCATTCATTCCCAAAGCATCACTTTTTAGTTTTAAGCATAAAAACAAGAGAAACACAGTGATTTATTCAGGTAGAAATATCATGTCAACAACTAGATATAGCCATGGACATGAAAATATCAATATAACCCACCACACATTATTCAAAGTCTTGATGTGTCAAAGTTTTTTTGATAGTCCATTGAACTTCGAAACATCAAAGTTTGACTGTATTTTTAAAACTCAAGTCTGCTAACTTCACACATCCCAAGACCAAAGTATAATCAAGAGCTACTACTACGTTGGTCTGTTTAATTTTTTTTTTTTTTTTTTCCCGACTTCTGGCTGTAAGCCTCAGATCTCTGATCCAGTTTCCGAACTCTCTGACTCCTGCCTTTAGGCCTCAGACCTCTGACCTACTTTCCAAGTGCTCTAATTCCCACCTTTAAGCCTTGGATCTTGGACTCAGTTTCTTGAGCGCTCTGACTCCAGACTTAAGGCCTTAGACCTAAGTTACAGCTTCTAGATCCTTCTAACTACTGAAAATTCCTGAAATTCTCAAATCTGGAGCTAGTTGCTTGAGATCTCTGACCCAGTTGCTTGAGATCTCTGACCCAGTTGCTTGAGATCTCTGACCCAGTTGCTTGAGATCTCTGACTCCTGCCTTTCAGCTTCAAACCCAGCCTGCTGTATGTTTCATCAATCTCATCAACTTCACACCTTTCTTTACCTCATATTCACCTACACAGTTGAAGAACTTTCAATTTGTTCGACCCATCAATTATGGTTGTAGCAGTCAATGATACTCAGAAGTTTGATTTAAACGTTCAAGACAAATTTAAGGAATTTTTTCTAACAGAAATTATAAAACCCATCAGGTTGAAGACTGCATCAAATAAATAAAACAGGATGAAATTCTAGGCTTATATAACAGTTTCTTGTTAAATCTGTTTAACCAAAAATAAATCACTTTATTTGACAGAAATGCATTATTAGACACAGATTAGGTATTTAGTGTCATTGTTAGTAGTAGAATTTCTTTTTTTCCATTTTAAAAGAAAACATGGGAAAGGGATATGGAGCAAATTGACAATCTAGTGCCCTATGATATGAAAGTTGAATGAAAAGTCAGAAAAAAGAAGAGAATTTAGTGACTTGATATCATTGTATTAGTACTTTAATTTGAAATAACGAAATGGCTTGTCATCTACAACAACTTGCTTAATATGTTGAAACTTTCAAAGGAAAATCTAATGTTCACTACACAATAACAACTCCAGTGTGATTTTTATGTTAGTAACATATCACAGGAAACATAGCTGTATGTTTTTGGTAAGGGTATCAAAAACTTCGCTGAAATTGAAAAAAAAAAATTCTTCGAACAATGGTGCTTTATACTAGTAGCATACTGGTCCACCAAAGCTGTCTAGAATTAGAAAGTTTGTTTCATGTTACCTCAGGTGAAGATCTGAGGTGCATGGTTCCACGTTCCATGCCCATGACTGGTTGTATTTCTTAGAAAGCTTTGAAATGGACCTGTCTATACATGGTTGTGACTTTTGATAAGACATTTTACCCTAATTGCTCTGGATGGCATGTGACAGGCCTCCCATGTGTTTTTCAGTAAGGTACCCACCAGTTAATAGATGGAGGTGCTGCCTTTAATGATTTGGGCTGTTCACAGGGTATTAAATCCAACAAATAAACAAGAAATCGAAACACATAAAGATATCACATGATCACGATATATACAGTCCTCTCAACTTCTAAATGACACATGTATTATGGTCATTTTACACATTATTTACTCTGAAACTCAACACTAACTTTCGCTGTAGTATTATTTATCTGTGATTTCAGTACAACATTTGATATTTCTAATAAATTAACAGTTTGAATGTTTAACAGACTTCATGACTAGACTTCCATAATGCAGAAACTTGTAGTTTGTCCAGTGAAAGATGAAAAAATGATGTAACACTTTAGATAACATACAGTATTTACATCAATTACATTGTATATATAAAGTTATATACTATGTACTGGAGGATTATACCTGAAGAGAAGAAAAGTTCAGAAGTAAAAATTGAGTGGACATGGACAATCTGATGTTATATTCTGTAGAATCATTCAATTTTGAAGGGTGTTTATTTTCATTGATTTCTTGGGTATTCTTAATTGATTTATTAATATGTCCACGAACTGTCATAATTACTGCGAGTGTGTTCATAGAAATGTACTTATCAACATAATCAATTGTCCATGTAATGATGTTTTTTGAAGGAAAGAACACTAGAATTGAGCCCAAGGAAAATGATCGATTTTACAGTATGTGTTATACAAATATAGTACAGTAAGAACTGAATGAAATCAAATATAGTAAATCATATAAAAGTCATGATAGATTAAACACAGGTATACACACAGATGAATGACAAGTCTTATTATAAATAGCTCTTACTTTCTGTCCCAAATAATACCACTACAGAGTGTTGTGGCATACAACTTTTTTTGTGATTCTTACACATTGAAACCTGTCTATAAAGACCACTCAAAGAACCAGAGAAAATAGACAGGTGGTCTTTATATGAAAATTCAAATTACTTTAATTGGTATTATATTGGGACCTGAAACAAGTGGCCTTTATAGACAGAGGGCATTTACATAGGGATGGCCTGATAGACATGTTTAACTGTACAATATTATTGATAGTGCAAAAACGTGTTATTTGTATGGTAACTTTGTAGTTCTCAAGGTGTTGATATTTGTTTAGATAACTTTAGATTTCCAAAGGTTTTTGGTTTTGATGCTTATTTGGTGATGACTTTGGTGCTTATTGCCAAGCTGCATTTCTATGAAGCTTACTAAAAGCTTAAATTGCATGGATCACTTTTAAGCTTTTAAGGCATCACATTCCATTTGCTTATTGGATAATCATGAAGCTTTAAAACTAGAATTTTCCTAATCATTTTGCCTGGGCCACCTTGGAGCTTTATATGGAAATATGAATTTTCTTGGTCATGTGGAACCCCTTGAGTTCTGCGGGTTTTTTTTTTCAATTTGCTTCAATTATTTTTAAGAATTCTTGATGTTTAATTAGTCTTGGTCACATGACAGTTTAATTGGGTGATTTATATTGCCTTGGTCACTTTGAAGCTTATAAGGTGTTGACTTTATTTAGATGGAGATGTTTGAAGTCTTCCTCAGATCTCAAAACCCTAAAGTTCAGATGAATCAGTTTCTGTATGGCCGTAATATGCCCAAGGTGAGTGAGAGGCTTGACAGTGATGCTGTGTATGTCTTAAATACTAAATGTACTCACTGGTAGTCTTTGTCAGACAGAAGCTTAAAAAGATGTGCTTTGGGTTTTTTTTTTAAGGAGCTCAGCATTAAACATATAATATATGCCATTGCTTAGCCTATAAAAGGTGTTTTGATACTAAAACACAACTAAAACTTAAACTGCGTTTTTTGTGGTGTGGTTGCATGCTCTTGTGATCATTATTTGAGACTGTCAGCTTCCTTTCATCTGCCAAATTCTGAGCAATTTATGCAGTTTTCCATACTAAAGTGTGGTAGGCCATGTTATCACTTTAAAGTACATGTACATGTAGTTGTATGCTGTGTTTTTGACAAAAAATATCAATTCCTAAATTTCTGTTAATTCTGATACTAATCAAGAGTTGACAGTGGCAAATTAGAAAATATTATGGATGCCACTAGCAAGTTACAGAGTATTCCAGGTGCCGCTGGCAAATAACAGGGTATTCTGGATACCAGTGGCAAACTAGTAGCAAATACATTTGTTTAAGTACCAATTTTGATGATTATTAGGGAATATCCTTAATGCTAGAGGGAGAGTTGAGAATATTTCTGATACCAATGGCGAGTTCGAGAGTAATTCTCCATGCTTATGGCAGATTAGAGAATTTTCTAGTTGACAATAGCAAATTACATTCAGATGCCAAGAGTAGGAAGTTGACAGTCTCGTCAGTAATTAGACATTGCTACCAGTGTGTACTGTATGTAAGATGTAATATACACTGTCAGGCCATCCCATAGGAACTGAAAGCATGCTACATGTATGTTATCCTAGAACATTGACCTGGAATAGATATAGCTCTAGGTAGATAGTTAGAAATAGTTTGTAGTTTTCCCTAGAAATCAATTTGTCACTCTTAGTCTTTACCAGTACATGGTTTCAAAATTAAGTGAAGGAACTTTATAAAGCTTGTAATCCAGCACACATTTTGTGCAACTAATTATTCTTTATTATGTGAAAGTTCTACACTGGATTGCAGACTGCTGTGTCCCTATGTAAAGGGTATTGGTTTCAGTTGGATAATATATAACTGAACACACATGATTAATTGATTATTGATTATAATGAGTTTTATACATTAACTATGAAATACTTTGACTTGTTTGTTTCTCTCATGGAAAATTGGAAAAAAAAGACACACAAGTGAATAACACCGTTTAATAATTTAGGTTTAGATACATTAAAGCCAAACAATGAATTAAACTGCATCATACAGCTGTTTCATCTTTCTAGGACATGTCATTGAATGCTAAGGGGCTAAATTTTGAAGCCTAGGAGATGTGAAAATCCAAAGTAATGGAAAGAAAAGTAAAAACTTAGATGGGAAGGTGCACTTAGCCCCATAATTCAGTGTCATTGATTAAAATCATACACAGTGTTTTAAGGAGCTTGCATTTGTCATTATTTGTATATCATACTTATTAAGTACCACAACATTTCCTACATTGATCCATTTTCCAGTTGTGGGTCCATCACTACAGTAACTTGAAATTTAATACGACTGATTAACAAACAGTGTATTAAGATAATTATTAATAACCAGATTAATTATTTTCCTTTCTGCTGTGGCAATTGCCTGAATCTGAACTTGGCTGTCATATATTTGATCTTGGTCATTTTATGTTAACAACTTCTGACATATCTCTTTATGCTTTGCTTTTGTTTTTTATTTTTTATTTTAATTTTCCTGTTTTTATATTTTTTGTTCATACTGGCCTATCAAATAATCAGAATTTACAGTATAACATTTTTATTATATATGCTTATAGGGTAGATAAGTTTTGTAATTCAATGTTTTTTACTGTCAAAGTTATTATGCAGATTTAATGAGAAGTATTTCATGCTTAGGTAGACAAAGCTAATGTTATCTGCACTTTACGATATATGGCATGTTTTTTTAAAAGTCATGTTTGTGAACAATATTTATTCGTTTTCAAAATTTTAAATGACTATTTTAGGAAACAGTACCTTCTAAACTTTAATAGGTTTATCATAGACTTGTTTACTGTAAATATTTACAGAAGGTTAGATTTGCCAGTTTTGTTTGATAGTATATATAGCAGCTAAAGTACAGCTTCATCATCCATTAGACTTTACCTACACCTCGAGAAAGGTGTGTAGGTAAAGTACAAGCTGTTCAAACAACAAACAACAACAACAACAAACAACAAACAACAACAACAAGAAAGAAAAAAAGTAAAATTCATTGACTTGATAACACAAACTTAGATTTTTCACTTACTTCATCAGCTCATTGCTGTGTATAATAGACAGATTTTTCACTTACTTCATCAGCTCATTGCTGTGTATAATAAACAGATTTGTCACTTACTTCATCAGCTCATTTCTGTGTATAATAAACAGATTCGTCACTTACTTCATCAGCTCATTTCTGTGTATAATAAACAGATTCGTCACTTACTTCATCAGCTCATTTCTGTGTATAATAAACAGATTTGTCACTTACTTTATCAGCTCATTTCTGTGTATAATAAACAGATTCGTCACTTACTTCATCAGCTCATTGCTGTATTGATAAACAGATTTGTCACTGAATTCATCAGCTCATTGCTGTGTATAATAGACAGATTTGTCACTTCATCATCTACCATTGAAATGCATAAAACTATGTAGGTTGCTGGTATACCTGGTACATATTTGCAAAGAGATGGCATGAACAAATATATTTCATCTGGTTTCAGTTTATTTAACATTGAAGATCAGCAGAATTTGTAACAGTTGTATTAATACTTTCTTCTGTGGTTTCTGTGAGCAAACTTTTCCAGTCTTGACCAAAAAACCTTTTTTCTGTTGGATATTATATAGTTACTGTGTATTAACTCATTGTACTGAAATCTTCTTTGAAATTCTCGTTTTGAATATAAGTTTTTATCAAAAGTTTTGCTTCTTGTATTTTCTATTACAAATTTAACTACATGTAATTTCATATACATTTTTTCCCCTCATTCCTTGTTTTTTTTTAATTTACATATTCATTATTTTCAAATATGTTTTTTTAGATGACACAGGATCCCTACCCCGCCATGTCAAAGAACAGACAAGCTTCAGCCCCAGCCGCTTCACGGATGGGCAGTAGACCAATATCTGGTGCATATGGTGTAAAGAACCCAACCATTACAAGAGATGAAAAGTCGTCCGGCCTCAGTGTAACTAGCTCACGAATGGTAAGTCTCACATCCTTGTGAACTCACTGTCACAGTTCTGTGGTTTGATAAAAATACCTAAGTAATGTTTTCTGTTTGTATCAATAGCTGTTCCTAAAAATGGTTTGTGCAGGGTTTGATATAAATCATCAAATACTATCACCTAATGACATTCATTGCAGCTGCTTGTAGGGAATTTAGTAAAATAACTGTTTAGTTTAAAAATGTTAATATGAAAACTAGTATCTTCAATAATAAAAGAACAAGTTTAAATTCATGAATAGATTTTGTTCACATTTTTTTGACTGAAATTTTATACATACATGAAGCAAAAGGTTGTGGCTTATAATCGGGAAAATATGGTACAATTTTATTAACCCAATATCATGTAAATTGGGTAAATTTTAACAAAATGTATTAACCTACCAAAAGGTAAACATCTGTCTGAGTAGGGGAAATAAAACAATTTCATGGCTGATTGAAGTTCCGGAAATATTATGTATTTATATTCAAATATCAATATCACCAGTTGGATAATGTCATCAACACTTATATATTTGGTTTTTTGCTTTGTTGTGCTTTAGTTTAATTTGACCTATGTTTGGTTTTAACTAGAGTGAGATTAAGATTATTTCTAATAAAGATAAATATAACATATTAACATTTTCTTTTAAGTCTTTTAATCATTGTAAAATTCTGTGCATATTATTCACATATACTGTATTCCTTGATATATAGCCAGTTTGTTATAAAACCAACAATTCCTTGATATATAGCCAGTTTGTTATAAAACCAACAATTCCTTGTTTTCCTCATTTGAAATACAGTGGATTCCACTTTTCATCAATTAGGAGAGTCCAAACATTTTTGACAGAGTTGTTTTTATTATTTTTTTTTCACATCAATTGTGCACTCATTCACCATAGCATAACTTAATTCTGACTTAATGACATACATTCTGATTTCTTATGTCTCATTATAAAGAAATCTCCAATTTAAAGCAGGAAAAATCTTTGCTATATTCCATCTTTGTAGCCTTATGAAGGATAGAGATTAAAAAGAACTCCAGTCGTTTTCAAGGTTGCCATTTAGAATATATGTAAGGACCCCATTTCATTTGAAAAAGATAACATTTTTTAACATTCAGTGTATGCTGTCATGATATTTATGTATCAATATGTCTTCTGTATCACTGGAAACATTTCAAAGTTGGGATTCCCTAAGAGGATCACAATGGATAAAAAGTGACATGCAAGAAACAGAAAAACAAATATCAAAGAATCGTATGATGTTGAAATAGAAATGGGACTTTTGACCTTTATTAATAATGGACTTGATCCCTCTTGATACCTTTCACATTAAACCATAACTTCTGGAAATAATTTCACATCAGTCTCTTTCAAAAAAGAAAAACAAAAACCTAAATAAGTCATTACATTGCTAATTATTTTAGATAGAGTAATAAATAAAGACTTTCAACCATATTGATCAATCATTCTGTTTTACATTCTTTTTATTAGAGTGTGTTTTTATATTATTTAACAATCATTTTTTTGGTTGGGATTTTTTTCACTAAAATTGAACACCAAACCAATAAAAGCAATAAAATTTTACAACTATGTAATCATCAAATTACTTATATGTTATTTAGACAAATGATATTCATCATTAATCTGAATACTTAAATGAACAAATACTTTTTGTCTTTTATTTCTTATTAAGAGTTATTTCCCTTTGGTTATTTTTCGGTACATATTTAGGTTGATAAGGAAAAGTTTAAAGCAAAGCATACACCAACACTGGTAGCTGTTTTAAACATTTTCAAATTATTTCCCCTTTGTCAGTAAAACATTTAAGAGACTGAAAAATGTGATGTCAGTACTCTCTATTCTAAATGATATTCTAAAAACAGGAAAAGATATGTAATTAAAAGGTAAAGTTTTCTGGAAGTTATCTGAGGACAATGTGAAAAGGTGTAAGGTCAATGTTTAAAATTCTGAATCGACAGGCAGGGGCCTCTCTAACTTTTCAATGCTGTAGTTTAAACTATATTCTTCCTTCTTGTTCCATGTTCTATCCCAGTCTCTATCCCCAACCTCTTACCTGTAACAAAACTTTGTGTTTTATTTAAAACCTATTTCCACCTAACTTGAATTAAATTATGAATCAGTGTATTGGAGTGACAGAGAGATGTTGAGGAAGTGAAGGGGTGGGGAATGTTACTCTTTATAAAACTATAGAATTATACCTTATACATGTATCTTTCATTTTACTGTGATCACCATTTAGATTTGTGTGTTGTTATGCTATTCACATAAACACATAACTTATAGAATTGAAGTAGAAAACATATTATTTGCAACTATATGCATATTTTATTCCATTTTTCAGATCTGTAATTTTCTTGCTTTAAATTCTGTTTAGTTTTGTCTTTGACAACTTCCCATTCTTGCATAGAACATAACTTGAAATTTTCATTTCATGAAAAATATGATGTCTTCACTCTCCACTATTGGAAAAACCCTGGAATCCTGAAATATAAAAAATAAATTCATAGTATGATGATACGTTCCACTGTATTTCAAATGCTAGCTGAGGGGTGAAAACAAACTGTATTTCACCTAATGTGTTCGTGTACTTTTCACTTATCCTAGTTGGGAATTGGCAGATTGCTTTCTTGTGCAATGGACCCCCTTCCTCCGATAAAGTCCAATTTCCATGACTACCACGAACCCTTTGATGACTACTATGTAAGTGAGGGGTTGACTTAGATATATCTGGCTCTTAAGCATTCAGAACGCACCAGAATCTTTTTATCATCAGTTTGATCATCATCACTTTCTGAAGATTTTCAGACCAACCATATGCATAGTTATATAGACTTATTGTAGGTTTAGATGAATGTTTTTCACCAAATGATTTTTTGATTCAGTATTTCATGTCTGTTCTATCAAATTGTTTAGATAACTGGACATCAAACAATCAGAAATGAAGGAGAAAAAGTGATACGTTTTATTTTTCACAAAGAATTTAATTTTTCACTTCAATTATTCAGATAAAGATATTAATTTTCTGATAACAAAGATACGGTTTCCTATGATATAATGAAATGACAGATGAATCTTTGGTTAGGTGAAGTACTGATTTTTAGCCGTTCTGATATATTACATTTAGTAGGAACTGACTGGCTTTATACTTTGACATCACTATAGCATGTTCGGCAGAATTTTGACATTCCTTTTTCTTTCAGATTTTGTAAAGCATGATTTTTCTCTTTACCTATTACATTTACATGTTAGTGTTAAATGTAATTTATCCCTTAAAAGAAAATTTTGGTTTTAAATTTACCAACTGAACATTACAGGTATTTATTTCTGAATTTTTGGGGTTAAAAATTTGAAAATTGTATGAAAATGTATAGCATAGTTTTTTTCTACATTTGACCAAAATAGATTTATGTTTAAAAATTTTGGAGGAATTTTTCGGGTCCATTGCTTGATCAGTACCTTTTTTTTTTTGCTAACTTCCCTGTGTGACTTTAAATATCCTTAAATGTTAACTGACCAGTACTAAGTAGTGGACAGTATCCATTTTATTAATGTCTGGCTTGTTTTCTGGGTACAAATCCTGACCAGCTACTGACCATTGTATAGCCATGATTTTAACATGCTGTAGTGATAGTGTGCTAATTTTCTTGACTTCTATTTATCATCTAAATTCTTCCTTCTTACATATATGTATAAGGCTGTTATAGTTTTAAATGTTTTGCATCATTTCTGGCAATAAATCTGTTTTTGGTAATAAGACCGCCTATTTTGAAAACAGTTGTGTAGAAATTTCAGTACCTACTTTTTCAACAAGTTGGTCTATTTCTGTATAAAATTGTCCCATGAGTGATCTTTTTGACAATTCAGCCTCTTTTTATCATTATGAAGGTTGCAGGATTATCAAAGTTCCATTTCATGTGTCTCTGTGGGTAATGTTACAATCACGTCTTGTCTTTCCTAATTTTTTTTTCCTTCTGGTGAAAGAAAATTTTTGCTTTATTTTTGATATCTAACTCTAGCAATTTTTCACCACAGTTATAAATTTCACTTCAAAATTTCAAGTACCTTGATGAATTTGTACATTTTTGAAGTTTTGTTGGAAAAATTTTGAAAACTTCATTAAGGTAAATTTGGCAGCCTTGTATTCTATTTTCTTGGTGTATATTATATGTTTTAAGGAAGTTTCTTTATACACTCTACTAATATCTTCTCTTGCTTGTAGACTTGGCATTATGCAGGCATTTCTGTAGAGCTTTCTTTAATTGAACTGGGGTGAACACTTTGCCATATTAATGCCTTTTCTAGTAAAATTTTTCTCATTAGCATGCATGTTGGTAAGATTAACACACAAAAACAGCAGACCAGGATGTTGCTTGTCTTAAGCACCAGTGCTAGTAAATTTTATACCAGGACCACTACAAAAAATGTATTGCATGCAAGTGTCTTGCTAAGGTGATAGTTAATGGTTTCCCTTTTAATGTCTATATATTTCATGAGTATGGCAAAATCTCAATTTTTCACAGGTATGAAGCATGAGTGAAAACTGTCTATATATTCTGTCATACAAGTGAAATATGTATGATATTTAACAGGAAACTATTAAATTTTCTTTTTATTACGTTTTTAAAAGAAAAAAAAACAAATGAGAAATTAGACTGATCCAAATACAAAATTTATGCCTGAATAGGAAAATCTGCAGATATCAACTGGTTGGTCAAAACTATGAAAGTTATATTATCACTGGTCAAAGACGCTGGTAAATTTTATCATCACCAGTGATGATATGAGATTTTTGATATCAGAACTGCAGTGATATGTTTTAAGCAGATTGATAGATTCCTATATTTCACTGGCTGTAATGAATTGTGATTCTGATTGATGTATAATGCTGGAAAATAAAATATCATGGTCAGATTTTCCTAGCTTATTACAGCTCGTATCTGTAGTTGTGAATAGTTGTCTGCATTGAATTGTGCAGATGATATTTCACAGCTTTCCAATGTTCAGGTTTATATATCAACAGAGAAATCAGAAGTTGTTAACAGTCTTTTTAACAATATTTGATATTTTCATTCCTGCATATGTCTGTTTATTTCTTGTGTCTATATATTCATTAACACTCCCCTTTTTCTATTTTTAGTTTTATATATAAATATATATTTTACTGTTTATTTGAATTGGAAGGTAGACTTAACCTTGAAGGTTCACATTGTTTAATATCAGTAATAAGGAAATTGTCAAGACTTATTTTCTTCCTGTAATTTATGATTGTTATCTGACACACTGCTCTTTGCTGTTGTAATCTGTAATGGATGGAAACTGTTATGTGTTTTAGGTACCCGGTCAGCGACCATCGTCAGCAACCAATCAACAACAGAGAAAACCATTGTACGGCAAGAAACAGTACAGCAATGCAATCAACAACCCGTCGTCAGGTGCACACAAGGCTTACTTCGGCAGTTACAATCAGAATGTCGGCACCATCTCCTCCACGGCTCTAGCATCAATTCAAGGGAAAAGGTCATGAAAGGTCACCGGCAACATCTGACAGGCTTCAAAATTTTATATATATGTCTGCATTTGACATATATTTTACCAGGTTTAAGCTCCTTGTACTTGAAAATAGACGGTTTTATTCAGCTATATCATTGGTTGAATATATAAATGACCCATCATCAGGTGATTGGAGGCTTTTGATGTGGTCTGATTTGACCTTTCCACTTCATTGAGAACAGGTCAATTTTGTCAATGTGAAAATAAGTAAAGAAAAATGCCATTGAGCACTATTTGGAGGTGAATTAAAAAAAATGATCAGGAATTGGTTGCCAGTATTTTATCATTTGATTTATGATTTTTATCATAAGATTTGAAAATTAAAAAAAAATATATATATATACTATATATTTGATTTTGGGGTTGACAAATCACATTTTCATTTGGACTTTGTCACAAAAGTGATTTATCTGTTTCTGAGGTGCAACATGTTTTGATGTCTCAAATTTATACACAAATAATGACTTGGTAGACAGGGATGGGCTCTGCCTGTGTTAGTTGTAAGATTACCACATCAAAGTATAGAAAATTTAGAGATTTGTACTTAATTATTGAGAGAGGATTACCTGTGAGTGCGAATGATGCGGAAATTGAAAAAAATAGTCTTGAAACAAGACATATGTATTGAGATAGAAGTCTGTTTTATCAAAGAGATTATTTTATCATAGAATTTTTCTTACGTACAGTAAGAAGTCTTTTTTATAACTCGTCAAATTGAAGACGGTTCCAACATTCCTGTAACAAAGTCATAGAATGAATGATCTGTTCTTACAATAAAGGAATGAGGTGCAACTGTGAATAAAGTTGGTACATCCCATGTTGATTTAAGGATCACAATGTCAATAATACATTTCTGTTATTTTGCTATTTAACTGGACTTAGTTGTCGGGATGTGCTTCATTATAGCTATGCCAATCCGTTTGGTGGGAATTTTAAAGGTCCCTTCTGTGGAGTTTTGCATTTCTCAGGAAACGGACCGATCATTGGCGATATGGTTTCGTCCTTGGGTAAGACATTTTACTCTAATTGGTCTGGATGTCATGTGATGGGCCTCCTGTTTGTTGTTCAGTGAGGAATCCACCAGCCACTGGTTGTTCATGGGACAATAAACCAAGCAAACAAACAAATCTTTGGTGAAATATATTTCATTGTTTTTTCAGTAAAATTTAGAAATAAGTGTTATGCATGTTTAAACCCCTAGGACTATCGCTAGTTAGATAAAGTGTCCTAGCAAGACGTATTGTCAGCCATCGTAAATTCATTGACTTTTTAATGCTTTGATCACATTTATGTCCTCAGTCTAAGATAGAAGGATGGAATTCCTCTCATACAGGTCATTGTGTCATGTACCGCTTTATACTCCAAGGCCATGGGTATGGTTCACTGATTTAGTGTATTTGACCTGATACGCTGACATGCTCTGATAGGTTTGTATTCCTCACCTTTTCACGAGAGGAAAAGATGGCTCCAGTTAATCAAAACCCATTTAAAGATTTCTTTCTTCACCAATCTACAAACATATGAACCATTTTGCCAGTTAGCTACAAAATATGGCAGAGAGTTACATATTCTTTACAAATCTATTTTTTTTTTTTTAACTTCTATGAAAGGTTTGTCTCCCAATGCATTTTAGTGGGAAATTTTTCCCTGTAAGTAACATCATAAACTGCGTCCTTCATGTTTCTGTTATGATTAATGTTGCACCCGTAAAGTTGAGAATGGTATTTTACATTCAATGAGTCATGTCGTGTGCAGATTAACAAATTCAGACCAGGGTACAAGATTTGTGTGTGAACTGTGTTCTGTGTGCAGTACTCTGATCTTTGGCGTGTTTGAAATAGGTCTTATTCAAATGTTAGAAATTAGTCAAACTATTAAATACATACATGTTTGATTTATAGGTTCTGTATGATCTTGCTTTTAAGGAGAAGAATTATGTGTCAGTAAGAAGGAGTGTTTGTAAGGGCGTACACCAAATATTAATTGTGTGATCAGACTTGATTATGATGACAGAGTGTTGGAGTGATAGTGAGTTGTTTAAATACAAAACCTGAAGAGTGCTTATGGGGTTACTTTTATATTTTCGAAAAGCTGAACCATTTCCTTCTGTCCTCTGATTTTTCCTCAGTAAAGATGGAAAAATGAAAAAAAAAAATGAATGGTGAGAAAGATAGAGGAAAAAGACTTCAGATGAAATTGAAGGTCACAAAAATTAAAATTATTCACATTTGAAAACGTTGATGGCAAGGAATTACACAGAACAGTTTGAACTAGGTTTTTGCTGAAAATGTGTTCATTAAAATAACCTCGGTAGAGTAAAAGAATAAAGATGTGAATGTAGAAGTGGAGATAGGGCTTAAGTGTATTACTGGAGGGTATGTATGTTAATGTACCAACATGTCCAGCACTTATTCAAATGATATGCACATGTTGGAAGTTCACTATATTGTTGTGAGAGTATGATTTTATTTAAAAGTATTGTTGATTTTTAAAATATTTTATTAGAACTACCCATAGTGTGATAAGTGTTTTATGTATAAGCATCACCATTTTTGCCGTCCAAGATATATTATATATATATATATAGGTATAATTCACACATTGTATACCATGAACAATATAACCATGCAGTTTTATTGTGTAAAATATTTACGTACATAGAGAATACTGTGTGCTGAGAGTATATTCTGGTGTTGAAAGATTAAAATTTATTTGTTTACACTGTCATTCCACATGTTTGAACCATTCCAGCAGTTATCAATTGCGTTTCTTTGATTTTTTTTTTTTTTTTTTCAGTTTTTCACATTTTATTCTCTTTAACTTCTTATTTAATTCAATGATCAATTATTTAAGTAAATGTATCATAATATCAATTTAGGTTTTTGTGTAGTTACTTTTCATTTTTTTCTGGTTTTTCCTTTTTTAGATTTCACTTTGATATTTTATACATGATTATGTTTGATGAATGAAAAGATTAAGATACCTCTATTGTTTTTGCCTGCTTTTCATGTACCTAACTTTATCCAAATACAATGTGTCAACTGCCGTCCATTTCTAAAATATCTCTTTAAATAAAAAACCTTGATTTTCTCTTGCTGTCAGGAGAATGAATTTTACATTTTTAAGTATTTATTCATTCCTTATTTTTGAAAACTTTGACAAAAATATCATTTTTACAGCTGGTCTCCAGATCACAAGAATCATTAAAAAGCATTTAAAATTATTTGTAGATAATATTATCTTGTATATACATAGATGTGATATTTGTTGAGAAAACTAATTTAAATAGGAAAACACTACATGTCATTCACAATAGACTTTGTGAATATTGTATTTTGTTAAATGAAGTTCAAGTCTATTCATGATTATGTTGAAAATCTACCATTATTAATGTGATATTCAGGGTTTTTGGTGGGGTTTTTTTTTCATCCGATTGCAAATCATTTTGAAAAAAAAAATCAATTTAAAACATATAAAAAGAAAATTTGATTTCATATAATAAGATATTCAAAATTTGGGAAAAAAATTATATGAAATTAAAAAAGGGAAAAACTGTTTCAAATAAAAGATATACGTACATTGTATATAATGTTGTGCCATTCTACTTGATTTTGACAGCAAAAGAATATAAAAATGAAAATAGAAATTTGAATAGATTTTGAAATTGCAGGAGAATATGCCAAATGTAATATATACAACAACATTCCGTCCCAGTATTGTTGTCCTGTTTGACTCTTGTCCTGGATGAGTCATTTATTGAATTATGCATGATTCATTGTGATTTTTATGTGTGTGTTATTTATTGGAAATAATTTATGATAAATGTTGATTGATATATAATTCATCTTTTATTTCTTAATTTCAAATTCATACATTCACAATATCTGATAAATATCTGTAATGTCAATGAATTTACTAGAACTGGATGTAAGAAACCTAAAGCAAAAGGATTGTAATTTTCAGGAAAGTCATGAACCAAACTATGGTTTTCTCTGTTTGTTCTTTTCACTTTTCATGGCATCTATTTTCATCTTATCATATCATATAGAGGCCCTCTAAAACATAACCTTACACGGTAAATAATTCATCTTGTCACTAATTATTGTAATCTGTAACATTAACTTTGTGTCAGACATACATCATCATTTGTATGTTAACTCAGTCCAACATTGATTTAAGGGGGTAAGCAGGCATCTTTTATTTTTGAAACATATGTAAACTATTTCACTGTGCATCCAGTAATCACATTTCACTGATGATACCTGTACATGGTGTTCATATTTTCAGTATAAGATTGTGATATATATTAAATAATTTTCATGTCCTTTTCATTCATCCTTCCATTCATAAAATATAACTGAATCATCTTTTGGTCAGTAAAGTCGAGATTGAAGTATCTAGCTGTTATATGACATTAAAGCTAAGAGAAGTATCCCACTCATCTAGATATATATACTGGTATATGTAGGTACAGTGAATATGATTTATCACAAGGAGTATTGAAGTAAGATTTGTATGTGAATACTCATAGAAAAGCTAACACTGTCACTTTTTTCATTTTAAGGTTGTATGTAATGATAAAGTCTTGCTGACTTCTGACAGTCAGACAAATCTTTGTGTAGTTCACTGAGGATCTGTATGTTTTAGGATGTTACTTACGATTTGTCTGGTCTAGGTAATTTAACTAATGGTCTGACAAGTCAGAGTGTAGTTTACTAACAGTCTCGATCGTGTGTATGTAGGGTACAGGGCAGCCGTGCTCGTCTGTATGTAGTGAACTGACAGAAGGTCATTGTCAGTTTGCTCATCTGTATGTAGGTCACGGACAGCCTTGCTCATATGTATGTACCTCACTGTCTTGCTCATCCAAATGGAGGTCACTTTCAGCCTGACTCATCTGTGTGTAGGTCCTTTAAAGCCGGACTCATCTGTATGTCTGTCAGTGCTGGTTCATCTTTATGTAGTTTACAAGACAACCATCACAATCCTTTTCTTGTGTCTTTCTGGTTAAGCTTGATGCTAGATGCCAGAAATATTTACAAATTTTCTTGTACAATATTTGGAAGATGACAAATAAAAATGAATGACAAGATAATCTGGTTTATTTTGTTTCTTCAAATGATAACATGAAAATACAGACATCATAACAAAATCATAATTCAAACTGAAAGCTTGTGAAAGGAGATGGTAAATGATGAACAAAAGGAAGTGCAAGGAGAATGAGACCAGGTGTTCCAGAAGGGTAGAGATGAGATGCTTCTTGTAAGTAATGTCGAATTCAGGGCCTCAATTACAGAGTGGCTATTTTTACTACTGTAAACTGTCTATTTTAGTGGTTATTTTATTTCAGTAATGTTCATGATGATAATATTGCGCTAATTCATTTTAGTGTATCGTTTATTAAACATGGCAATTGGGGACTTCAACGAAATATTCGGTCGGTAGGATGGTATGCAAATAGGAAAATGATATTGAAATATTCCAGAGGATGTGTTGGTGTCCTCAAGTCTCACGTTTTTAAGCTTGACAAATGGTTCTTTAGAGGAACTTTTTCAGTCATCTAGCTAGTGTTATATTCGGTACAGTTCAGTAGAACGACCGCACTCTAAAACTGAAAGTTGCATATTCGAACAGCATCTTCCATCGAATGGACATTCATTTTACCAGGTGCTGTGGATGCGCGAAGTCGACTGTACTTATTTGTTGACAATAATACGCTGAAATTTGATTGCGCCAATTTCAGTACGTTAACAATAAGATCAAAGTCGTCTCGAAATCTGATCCAGACAAATTATTGTGATAGATGTATAAACACCAAAATAAATATGTATATTTCGCCCAATGTACGATACATGTAATCGGAACGATGACCTAATCGGTTTGGGATGGTCAGTCAACAATTGGGCCCACTGGACAAATAGAGCGCTAGCGAACGACTGGAAATAAGCTTGTCTGTGGCTAATTATCCGATAACCCCTTTATCTTCCCCCAATACCGCATCCAAATCAGTCTATAGCAGGTATGTTCATACTTATCTCTATATGGTAAACAAAGGGGCCAATAAGGGGGTACTTAAAGTATATGAGATATATATATATATATACTTATATCTATGTTATCCTTATTTAAAGAATGTTATTTATTTTTTATTTCAAACCTTGTTTAATTTGAATTTCAGTTTAAAAATCATTTCTCGCGAAACTCTCATTTTGAAATGATCCGAATCTTCTTGGCTTTGAATATTTTCCTTCTACGTATATTTGTCCCTTTTTCACCTTGATGGGTGTTATCATAATTAGTTGTGTTTATAAATATTTGGTATGTCTGTTTCACACATACAGTCACCATTTAGTCTCTTAACATCGTGAATCATTTGTACATTTTTTTCGAATTATGAAGTAATTGTTTTGTGTGGGTAGTGTGTGGTGAATGAGGAAAATTGATCAGTATATTGTATCCTCGATTTCCGTCATTTACAAAGTATTACCAGTTCTATATCATCCTGAAAAGTTGTAGAGAAAGCATCGTTACCATCCAGGTAGGTCATTTTTATTTCTTACCTTTCACAGATATCAAAATACATTTCAAACATTTCGAAATTCACAATGTCTTCTGTTTGTTCGGTACTTAAAAGTGTTTGTTCACGCAAATAAAAATCTTTTCATTTTTCATAATAAATTGCAAAATATGACAAATGTTAATTTTATATATCCGTATGTCACGAAATACATTTTTTTTCGAATACCGGCATTGGTTTTTGATTTACAATAATGAATCGCAGCACTCCTCGAATGAAAATTGACTTTTTATTCAGGACAGTGCGGCTGCTGGATCGATATTCTCGATAACTAATCAGCTCACGATATCCACTTGTCTTGGACACATTTTGATTTGAAGTTAAAGAAACACTATTATTGGATTAGTACATCTTTCGGCCTATATTTTGAATTTCGCCATTTTAATTTACCTCGGACGCCTGATAGGATTCTACGGAAGCGTATTCAGGCCACGTTGTGTTTTATTTCAACTCGAAATTTCTAAATAGAAATTTTTAGTTAATAATCCGAAATTTCGAGATAGCAACTTTGGGGTCCTATAACATCACTGACGAGTCACACAAGGACGAAATAACTATATGATGCAATTAATTTCATTGTTTGGCTCTGCTGTATCTGTTCTAAATTTGTATTAAATGGCGCTATCCACTTGTGTGGCTTTTGTAAATCTTTATGATGTTCTTATTTCTATATTACTTATTAATTATAGATAAAGTTTAATTCAGCTGTTTTCCTTGTAGCCAACTATATAGATACCAGAGACCGGTCAAACACTAGGAATAAATATACATGTCTTAATACGAAAGATGTGGAATGAGAGATATATATATAAACATATAATGTTTTACATCACGTGTTTTCCAGTGTTTTAACTTTTTTCTATATATAAACTTATACATTTTTCTCAGACATAGTATTATGTTAAAAGAATACCGTTTCACTTCGATGTTTCTGCTATAGTTGTTTTCATTCTGTGTACAGGGAAAGGTTTCTATTCCACTATTTTATTCAGTCCTAGAAGATAGGAAAAATTGAACCTTCTAAACTTACGATTTTACATCCGAAATGAATTTTATCCATTTTCTTTGCAGCATCATGTTCGTTCATGCTTTTTGTGTCACATATATGGTGCTATGTATGGGGCCCGTCCTGATATCAACACAGACCATTCCTCGAATGATACCCGCGGTGTTAGGGAGCTCTGTGACTCTGGACTGTACCGTGTCGCGGTCCGCAAACTCATTCCTGGTCTGGGAGAAAATAACACCCACAAAGATTGTTATCGCCATTAACGATAAATTACAAAATGGATTCCAAAACTCTTCAAAAATATCTGTTCACTTACGTCACGATGGCTCGACATCATTAGAACTGAAGTCGATGGGCCTGATGGAGGATGGCGAGTACAGATGTTATGACGTCATAGATTTGTCGACGGCGGATAAATTTGACGTCACAATTTTGGGTAATTGCATTTTACATAAACACTCTTCAATAAAAAAATAATTAATGTGAATTCACAAATGTATTTTGAATACTAATATTTTTACTATTTTAAACTAAAAAAAAAAAGGGGGGGGGGGGGGGGGTTACTTCATGTTGCTCTGACGGAGTCGTCTTGTTTCAGTGCGCCCGTTTGACGATGGGGTGTCTTCACTGATTGGTCAGATAGATGAGGGCACCCAGCAGACGATTACGTGCACCGCGGATGGCGGGAAACCCTCGCCGAGCATAGAATGGTATCTTTTGAGTAAGTTTGTACTTATAGATTTTATATCGGATCAAACAACAACGTTATCCAAACAATATTCAAAACGTATTCAAGGTATCGTACATGATACATTATGATGTAATTTACAAAACGTCTGAAAAGGGTTCTTCTATATTACAAGGTTTTTTTTTTTTAAGTTTATCATGTGTTTGAATAATGAACATACGAAAATAAGATGCTTTATATGTTTATCACATTTACAAATGAATTTTTTCATTACTTTGCATTGGGAATTTCGTGGTCCTGAAATATCATTTGACTGAAAATCTATAATCATCAACTGTTGTTGAAACTTGAATATATATTCTTTGATCTTTATCTATTTCGATAACTTGACTTTAATATCAAGACATTTAAAATGATAAGAATACAATTCACAAAAAGTCTGAAATGTTGATCTTAATTAATTTGATTTTCAATGTACGAGTTATCTCTCATATGATTTTATGATATCCTCCACACGTATATTTTGAAATTAAAACGTTTGCAGTATTAGACATGATCAGTTTCTACAGCTCAGATATTCGCGATGTTACCATAACAAACAGGATGGAATAGGGTTCTCTATTATGTTTTCACAGAACAGTATACATTTCTCATGACTGAATGTCATCCTCGAAAAAAGCGAAAAAGACCCCTAGAAAATAAGAATATTTACAGTGAGTAAGTCAGTAAAATTGATGATTGTATAGGCCCTGATGTCAATAGGACGAGATTAACTGGCAGTGAAGAAGCCAGACAGTATCCGAACGGGACTTGGTACAAAAGGAGCAATCTAACCTTTACGGTGACGAGGGAGATGTACCGAAGTACTTTGTACTGTTTAGTCAACACAGGACCCATCCCCTTCTACAACGAAAGCTTTCAGACACAACTGGATGTCAATCGTAAGTAGTGAATACTGTAAAATGGTGAGTTATCGTGATGCTCAAATTTCGTGTTTATTTATTTATTTATTTATTTATTTGGAGAGCATTTAATTTCATGTTTATAGAGATGTGTTAATGAAATCCATCGATGCTGAAGTCTTTATGGCTGATTTATTAGTGGGCATTTAAATTTTCAGAAAATAAATACATAATCAACTATCACATTAAGTTTCACTTTTCCACAAAATATCATTATCATTCATTTCTAGGCAACCTTGGCTTAAAACACCCGCAACAATTCTTTCAATTTTTCTCTGGTTTTTTGTCATTATGAGAATTGAACGAAAACTATATTGATGTTGAGGGAGCTAAAAAAACTGTCTTCGGAAGATTTGTTCATGGGCTTGCCAAGAATATTAGATTTGGTGTCATTTTGAAGGCATACTTCAACGTTCTATATATACAATAGAGATTATAGTTTTCGTTGTTTTCAGGATGATCTTATCTTTGAAGTCGGCTTGTTATCCAGTTTTTAGAGTATATTTACAAACTTTCCGCATTTTCGTATCATTTCGTCTGATCTTTAATCTTTAATTATGACCTTTTTTTAAACCTTTGATCTCACAGTATCACCTTTAATGCCAGCAATTGGGTACTTTACGGGTCTATTCAACGACGGGGAAACAAAAACCATTACCTGCACATCGGCCGGAAGTAGGCCAGCAGCTACCATTGAATGGTACATAGATGGCGCTAAATTACAAAACACTATTCATGAGGTACTACCGAGGTCTGATGGAACATTCTTTGTAACCGGAATTTTATCCGTTAAATTCGACAAAAGTATGAGTGGACGTCAAATGAGATGTGCCGCTTCAAACTCCGTAACACATACTAATGGCGTCGGCGATGTCAACAGGACACTCACACTTCTTGTAACGTGTAAGTCTTCAATTAAGTTGACTTTTATAGAATATCTTTTAGTGAATTTACATGTATAATTTTTACATGCAGTCGTATGCCGTGTAATTCATTGATATAATGACTGATATATCCATGATTGAAAACAATATACAGTATATCGGGGATATTTTCCCGCAGTGCAATTTTCGCGAAAATCACCAAAATTAACCTTTTGCCTTTTTTGCGTATTCAAATTTTTTCTTGCGATTTCATCGTCTCAGGAATAAAAAAAATCATTTCCAGTGGAAACTAAACTTTAAAAAGGGTGTGTTGAAAATTCTTATTTTCCTTTATGATTTTACAGTAAACTTTCACCTCTCCACAGGCGAAATGTTATCATTGTACAATTGTAACTAAAATTTCCGAAAGTACCTCTTGTAATTTTTGCAATTTCATCGTCACAAGAAATTTGAATAAATGTATCACTCATGCGATTATAATGAAAAGAAGAAAACATGCAAATTTTTGCGATTTTTTTTTTTTTTTTTTTTTTTTCTATTTTGAAAATATTGCTAAATTAAAAAAATTAAATACGTTAAAAAATTCCCGATAGACGGAATCTTGATTGAAAATTAAATTTCTTTTGCATCACTCTCGGGAAAGAACAGGTCAGTGTACTTTCTCGTATACGGCATTCGGATTTAACCGAGTATGATTCGACTTAACATGCTCTTTTCTTCTTTTCACCAAATATTTTTGGATTTGTAGATGCACCTCAGATAACGTCGGAAAACGGAACAAGGGAGGTAACTGAGGATTCCGACGTCGTTCTCACTTGTCAGGTCGATGCGAGGCCCATGCCTTTACCACAAAATATATTCTGGCGCCACAATAACAACATTATAGCCTTGGGAACAGGGAGTAGATTTAACTACACTTCAAGTCGAGTAGCCGATCTTCACATTTCTTCCGTGAAAAGGTTATTTTATGATTATGTATAATTTGATCCAAACCACAATTTTATCATTCGGTACCGAGCTGTATTTGAATAGGATGACAAAATGACGGATATAACATTGACATCACCACAAATGGTGCGGGAAATGAACAAACTGTCAATTGCATCGGGGTTCTATTTAATTGCTTTTTTTTTTGGGGGGGGGGGGTTAGCTCAATTATTCATTTATTATTTATTTATTTTCGGTTCCATTTTCAGTTTTCTTTAATTTGACTTGAACATATTTTATTGTAAGAATACTATGGGATGGATCACAAGTTTTTCAACTTATGATAAGTCCTTTCCCTAAAAAGTTTGACAGATGTGGCGGGGGAAGAAGGGAGAGAGAGAGAGAGATCTTTTTAATAATCTGATCGAATTGTTAATTGTGAAATCACTTAGTCTGCTCCGTCCATTGAATCTGCTGCTGACAACTTCACAAGTAAATTTCTGGATTTAGTGTCTGTCTGTATTCCAAATTATGAAGTGACTAAACGTCCGTCGGACAAACGATGGTTTGACTCTACATTATGTAAGCATTGTCAAATTCGTGAAAGACTGAGAAAGACTTTATACACATACACCGTATTGATTGTAAGAAAATATTTTTTTTAAAAAATAACAGGAATGAAGTCAACAATACGAAAAAACAAGCAAAGTTACACTTTTACAGTAATCTTGAGTCTAATAGTGGTAGATGTAGGAAATCTTCTTTTAAAATATCCTATATTAACGACCTTGTAGACCCAATGAAAGCTGTTACTAGCCTCTCTTTGCAGATGTCTCATCTTTTGAAGAGGCTTCAGTAGACATAAATGCTGTTGAACAGATCCTAAATCATGACATCCAACGTTTACAAGATTGGTCTGCAATTCAATCATGCAAAACCGTTCCATTTTCTTCCAGACCCCTCGATGTAAAACCAAATCTTACCCGTAAAAATGAACCACTTACTTTCACTTACATTGCCATCTTCGAGTGTTTCTCAGTAGTAATTGTAATTGGCATGACCACGTTCAACATATTGTCAAAACATACCCATGTAAAATAACTGCTTTAAAACTATTGATATATAAAGTTAGTAAGGAAACTCTTAATACTATATACACGTCTTTCATTAGACCAACTCTTGAATATGCCTCCTGTTTCTGGGATGGTTGTTCTGACGAACTGCCAAATGCCGTGGAATGAGTCAAATAAGAATTTGCTAGACTTGTGCCTTGCCTATCACCTGTAACCTACTGTGAGGCATTATATCTTGAAACTGGATGGCTACCTTTACAATCTAGACATAATAGACAAGTGCAAAATTATTTCATTTCTTGCTTCGCCTAAATAGATGTATTTAGAAAAATCATTTATCCCCTCAACTACTAGCTTGTGGAATAGATTTGATAATTCTGTAAAATTATCATTTCTTCATCAGCAGTTAGTATAAAGATATCGACTATTCCAGACGCTCTACCAAATTACATGAATGCTGGTTACTGATATCTGTCAGTATTATTACCACGACACAGATGTAGTAATTAAAAGTGATTTATTTCGTGTGGGTATATGTCCATAGCCTATATGTCATGATAAGGTAATTATAATGAAGATGTGTTTCTCAGAGAGAGAGAGGGGGGGGGGGAGAGAGACTGTTCTGTTTAAGTCCCATTTTGTCATTTTGCTATGACCTTCTGACATTTTTCTGGTTGAAGACCCACCTTAATCTTACGTTTACTCAATAATTCAATCTAAACCTTCTTTGCGATAAATATACATATTATTACTAGCCATTTAAGTAGAAAAAGTACCTGGAATCTTATTGCACCATGTATTACAACTAACATGCGTTTGTCCATATTTCTTCAGGTTGGTAATGTCACTAGAATAAAATTCTTATAACACTACCAGAAAAAGATTTGAGTGTGACGTTTCGGTAAATATAAGGCAACCTTCAATGACTAATGACTAACGAAATGTCACACTTAAACTTTCTACTGGTTGGGTTGTATCAAGAACTTTAATTCTAATGTTTCGTCAAAAATTTCAGAAACCTGTATGAGTTAATATTAAGATACTTGTAAATACTATGTAGGTACTTATTTTGACTGCGACCCAATTACTGAAAAAAGAAAGAAAAAAACAAACTGAAATGGCTTTGCAAGACTATCCGAACCAATTATTGCGATAGGCTACTCTTGGTTTCTACAATATTGTCTTTAAAAAATATCATCGGAGAGACGTTATTGAAAGAGTCATATGTTATAATTATTATGGCAAATCTCTCACAATATATACCATGTTTATCTTTTCATTCCTAATTTGATCGTTCAGAGAGGACGCTGGGAACTACGAGTGTCAGGCTCTAAACACGATTGGTGTTGGGGTAGGACAAAAAGTCCACATCGAGGTGTCATGTAAGTACAGTGGAACCGCTTGATAGATCACCTGTGTTAAGATACCATCTCTAATAAGGGATAAACAGTATAAATATACCACCTATTAAAAACATACGTTTTTGATACTACTTTTTAAAAGGCAACCTGTGTTAAGGGACCACATATAGTAAGAGGCTACCTGCTTTAAAAGACATGTTTTCAAAAACCATATTTGTTGAGAAATATTGGGAAGGTTTCCTTTGCAGTTTTTGTTATGCCTACTGAAACTGACCTATCTGCTCATGTCGTCTGTTTTCAGATCGCCCATTTTGTACACAAGGTAGCGTTGTAAGGCACGCTGTGAAGCTTGGGAGCTCTGTGACGGTCACGTGCACAGTTGATGGTAATCCTGGGAATTCCACAATTAAATGGCGTTACAAAGGAACTGGGATAACTATAACTCCTAGTGTTTCGAATCATGTAGTATACGGTAGACCGAGGGAAACAGTTTCTACGGCTGTCATTTCAGTGACGTTAGTATTGAAACCATATGATATTAATTGTAAAGATACATTTCAGTGCGTTAAATAGTCGAGCCTTTTTCACATAACAATATAGCGCTTCTTGATTTGTCAGGATGTAATATATCTTAATATCTCTCTTTTTTTACTATTAAATTTAATTCGCATATGTAAGAGTCAACATATCCTCTATTATAATTTATTGTTTTGTTGTAAATATATTGTGTTTCGGTGATTTTGGAAAAAAAAGGTCAGTGCAGATGCTTTTAGAAGAATTTCTATACCGCTGGTATTCGAGATATTTACGAAATTATCATGGAGGGATTAAAAAAAAAACAAACAAAAAAAACATGGTATTCGCTAGACGGCGTTCGAAAACAATTAGTACATGCGTCTCGAAAGTAACGGTGTTAAAATATTTCTGTTTAGTTATATTATGTGAGTTTGTTGTTTCTATTTTACTGTGAAAGCTGTAATTTTCGAGAGCTCCTATTTTTCAATTGTTTTTAGGATGGAATAAAATCACGAAAACGAAACGATGAACATTATAATTAAATATTTTATAGTTAATTTAGAACCAATATCCGTTCTATTATTCCATTTATACTTCTTTTTCTTTTAAAGTTTTAGAAGCAAGGGGAAAAATAATCTGAAACAAAAATCGACATTTACGATATCTACTTTTCATTTCATCTTATTTGGAATAAATATTTGCTCTGTTTGCGATAACCAGCTCAAATAGCAGGTTTGAAATGTAGTAGCTTTAAATTGGAAAAAAACACCAAAAAAGATAACTTTGATTTTTCATGTTCAGATGGTATAGCTTAATATGCTACTATGTAATGCAGACTTATTTGGGTTAATCTAACAGAGACGACTGGCAGTACACAGATGTTGAATGTGTCGGATCGAACGCAATTGGTGAATCCAGATCGCCATGTATTTACCGCATAGTGAGACCAGGTTTGTGGCCATAAAAACATTGGTGCATTTCCATGTCTTTCGTTTGATTTATTTAGGACTTTTTATTGATTAATTTATGTATTTTCTATCGGTTTCATACATCCCTTTCGATAGTTCACATGGCTTTTTTTATTATGCCAAAAGTTTACTCAATGAGTGATGCCATTGAAGGCTAACCCAGTTCCATCAAATCAATTTTTTTAACAATTGGTATGTTGATATTGCAGTGCATTTTCTTACATGTAATTATTAATGTATAAAAACGTATGTAACCGAAATTACTTACCATAAAATATTACATTAAATAAGTTTTGATAGTGATTATATACATATCAACTTCCAAATTCAAGTGATCGAAAGGATCCTGCACATTTCGGTATACAAATACTGCAGTACTAAGTGCTCCCTATTTACGTAGGTCCTCCGGAAGTGCCCACAAACTGTACGTGGTCCTCGCTAAATGACGTGGAGATTCGCGTGCAATGCAATCCCGGGTTTGATGGAGGATCCGGTCAATATTTCGTCCTTCAACAGTCAGAGAGTGGCGGTCAGTATGAAACGACCAAGAATGCTACAGTGGCCATGTTTGTAGTATCCAACCTAAAGGCAGGAACTCGCTATTCGTTCAAGATATGTGCAATATCTGACCTATATCCACAACTTCCCAGTTGCTCTTCTGAAGTAGCAGCCCAGACATCCGAGGGTGAGACAGATTCATTTTCGCTTTTGAAAATCTACGAAAAGAGCTATATCCATCTTGATGTACAATGTTAAAGGTTAAACTCGAAATGTTTCTTGCATGGAGTTATCACTATAACTTAATATCTTCTTTTCAATTTCTATTTTGTTAATTGATGCCCTTGGATATGGACGCTTTGTTTACTTTTAATAGCTCCTGGTCTTTCATCCGTATTTACAAAAATATCATAAAGACATAAAGTAAAAATTTGATGTAAAGTATGCAGATATTTGACAGCTTAAAATATCTGGGATGCACCAAAACTCGTTCTTCGCAAATGGCAGATAGGTATATCAGTATATGTTTTTCCTTAAAGGGATAAATGACCAACAAGCTTTGGCATCCGCAGGAAGTCCGAATAGCGCCCCCTATATCGCTGCTGGAGTCATGGGAGCTGTTGTCCTTTTCATTTTAATTGGAATTATCATCTTCTTTGTTCGGAGAAGGAGACAGGTTCGTAAACCGTATGACCACAACAGCCAACTGGCTGCTTCAGCTGCTCACCGCATGTATAGAGATCACGTGATAAGCAATGACGGGCATGTTAACTATGGCGTCAACATTACAAGCACTACGCATGGCCACTACAGTACTTCCTCTCACAGCCTTCCCAACCGGCGTGAGCTGGAAAATTCATTCTATGGACATGATCCAACAAAAACGATCCGTAAATCCGTACAATGGAACAACAAACAGCTTTTGTATTAATTCTGTCTGTAAGTTAATGTTGATTTCCCGTTTTCAACCTATTCCAAAAGTCAATGCTGTATTCGATTTACGTCTTGCTGAAATGTAAATACCACTGTCGGTTACATACTTAAAAAAAATCATTTTTCTGTATTAGTTTCAAGTTAAAAAAAAACTACATATTTTGGTTTATACAATGGCCATTGAACATTTAAAACTTTTCTGAAATATCATTATTATTTAGTTGGTAATTTGTAAGGGGACAATATTTTCTCTATTTCTCGGTACTTTTACGTAATTGCGTAAAAAAGAGACGCGTGTATATAATATGTCCTTTTAGATCCAGATCGCGAAATTTAATTAATCAAAGTAGAATTATGCCGATTTAAATAAAATCATCGCCAAATTAATTGATTCCTGAAATTAACCAGCTATGCGCTATCTTTAGATCCTCTGATAGGGTAATCATGAAATACCAAAAAAAGGGGAGAGGGTTTAGGAATGAAGTTCACCAACACTTTAAAATCGAAAGCATGTAATTTTACGACAAACACATTTGGTGATCAACTGCATGAATCTCTTAATTTGTAGAAATTTCTTCGTTCCGTAATATTCTATGGCAGACCGGTGACAGTATAAGACGCCTCTTTTTCCTCAGAAACACATGTATCATCTGCCGTAAAGCGGACACCGGATGTACTGGATTTGAAGAAGCATGATCTGAGGCCACATTACACAAGCCATAACCTACACTTCACCTGTTTTGCATGTGCGCATCCACATCTGTTCATCTGCATGTACGAGTTTCATTTCCAAATTGTATGTTCATATTCATTTAACAGTGCTGTCGTTGATGTTTGTTATCTTTATAATAATAAATACACTTTTTATATTAATATGCATGCTCAGCTATTTTTACGTTATCTTGCATGTAAAGAAACATGTTCTACTGGTTGGTAAGTAATATATATGATTTTTTAGTCGATAAGAAAATTTTGAGTGGCGTTTCCATAACTACACTGCCCCTTTATCAGATGTTTGAATCGTATTTGCACAAACGTTTACGGGATAGTAATGCATCGATGTGACATTTTGGCTCTACTGTAATCCTACTATTCTTACAAAGGTGACAGAATAATCATCGAATCGTCACACATACTTTTCTTACTCTGTTTTTATATGAATATGATTTTATATTTCCTGGTTATTTCAATTGAAGTTTGTTATGCAACTAACTCAAGTTTGTCTTACATATGATTCTTTATTAACATTTAACGTTAACGTTTATCAAGTGATTTTAGTAACCAAAGCTGTCAAAATAGCAACTTTTCATTCCAATATACATACCAGTAACACAAAATAATCCGTATTTGCATATTTCCCTCCTGTTGCAATATAAAACTATATATATAAGGGGAAACATTTGCTCGGTAATCTTTTTGCTCTAAGATACATAAAACAAGGAATTCAACTTCAGCAATACACTTAAGTCCATTTACATATTGACCTCAGCTAAAAAAGATCGAAACAGGCGAAAGTCAAACATCTTTTCGCTTCGCGAGCAAATTGAATGTTGTTATTAACTCAACACATAGGGTCATATGAGCGTTTGAATAGAAGAGGAAGAAAAAGTGTTTTTGTAGTTAGAACTGTTTAGACAATGCCGTCACGAAGTATTTGTTGTTTGGGCTACACAGGAAATATTGATTTTGCCGTGAAATAAACAAACAAACGCATGATTCAAAGATATTTATCTTTGCCTTTTTTAAAGGTTGTTCTACATGTACATTAAATGCTGTTGAATTTTCGGCTACCCATAAACTATTTATTTAATATGACATTTTGTTTCTGATTAGAGATAGAACAATATATTAAATTACACGCACACCATAAAATGAAACGATATATAGCAAATTGGCAAAATAGAAAAATTCACTGACAAAAATATAGCGCCGCTTAAATATGGAGATGGTGTCATCATACAACCATATGCTCATGATCCGGTATGATAAACTCAGAACATTATATCAGATTTTAATTTCGATACTTTTAAATATAAATCCAATGCTGTTACCGGAATTTTGTCAAAGATATCATTATTCACTCTGATCAAAATGCTTTCAACCAGACTAGGATATATATAGGTTTTTACTTCAAGCTAATAACTATCTCCTTTTCACAATAGTTTCTTGCTAGAATATATTGATAATTTATTTCTAAACAAACGAGCTCTACACTAAATCCTCCAATTGAAGCTTTAGTTTGTCATATATGTTTAATCTTACGATCATTGATATATAAGAAACATTCTATGTTTGTGAGATACAATGTATATAATTTTACGTGATTCAATCAGCTCTTGTTCAAATGCACAATTTGACAACTGAAAATTGCAACGACTGTTTTCCACATTAGGTATAAAAAAGGAAATAAACATTAGCAAAGTATTAAATTTCGTGTCTATAAAGAAAATAATATTGTTTTTGGAATACTGAAGAGGTTGAGGTTTTCCAGTTTGATTTTTAGAGAGTAAATAACGCGGAAAAAAAAGACACAACGAAAATAAGTTTCAAGTTTTCTGTAGATAAAACAAACTTATTTGCTTCAATCCTTTGATACAACCGGAAAAATTTGGACCTTCGAAAAAAGAAACTTTAACAGTACAGCATTTAAATTATGATTCTATCACAACTCTAGGTTAATAGATCGACCTTACAGATAAAATTATTAACAGTCGACAGTTCACACAAATATTCAAATACTTACGCATTATGACGAATTCGTTGGATAATCAATTGCGTGCCTACTGGAGACACATAGTTTCATATATGCCAGGCATCTCTAAAATGAATTCCTATAAGGTGATTTATGTGAGATATTATCAAACCTTTACATATAAGAGAATATTTACAGCTGGACAAGGACCCACAGGAATCCACCTGGAACCAGAACAATAGTGAGTATACCATGGGATTAAGCACTTCGAAGTTATCCATTGATCATGTTTTAAGCATATATACTTAAGATTATTTAATATTGATAGTCATAGCAATTTTGTTTAACCAATTTTCCCACGTATTTTTGGTCCATTTAAAAACATCCTGAAGTAGAGTTATAGTACAACCCCAATGTCAAGGTTTGAAAAGTATATTAATGTTTTGGCATAGGAATTCGTGGACGACGATTGCGCACGAAATCAACGAAAATTTAGATAAAAACGCAGCAAGAAAATTAATATACTTTCAGTGTACACGGAAATATCTGTCTTTTCTACTTTTTTCAGAACTGTATTCACAAACACACTGCTTTCCTGATCACAAAGCAATAATGCGTTTATGTTTGATTTTTTAACCGTAGTATTCCCGCACTGCTTTACACTTGTCTCTTTGTTAAATTTACCCTGTCTTGTATAATATGTTATTTTTTTGTGACCTAGCATTATATCAATAATTCAAGAATGAAACTGAATATAATTGGTATTCTTATATTTCCATAGTTTTTTTCCATTATTGTAAATTTATCAAAAATAAAATCACCACTAAAATATATAAAATATAAAATAAATAAAACATTATAGGAACTGTTGTTTAATTGATCAATTAAATTCTGTTTAAATGACATCTATTGGATTTTTTAATGTTTACACAGTCCCAAACACAGGCCAATCAAAACAAGGAGAATCATGTCATGTGATAGGAACATCAAATGGCTCTAGTTTAACGAAAAACGCAAATATCGTCCAAAATTCTTGCGGAGAACGTGGTAACAACCAGTTCATATTGGCGGATGGTAACGAGGCTATTGTAAGACACATTAATCCATATGATATAAAGAACTTTGACCCGGAAGTTGATCATTCGATCTCCAATAAGATGAGGGTATACCAAGTTCCTTCCCACCAGCCACTGATAGAGGACAATGTCAACGTAAAGACGAAGAAAGGAGATGACTTTGACGTTAATGACTTTCAAGACTGGCTAAAAGAGACTCCGTCACATTTTGGTGATAGTTCAAGGCATAACCTTTGTTACAGTGAAGCGGATATTTCAATGGCAACAACGGATCGCAGATACAGGCCACCTATTGATGACAAAAAATCTGTGTCTTTGGAGATTATACCGAATACAAATGATTCAAAGTTAGATGATTCTGGTTTGACCTTTCAAACAAATCTTTTATCACATTTCATAACCATAGATAACTATACAGAAGAAAACGAAAGTTCAAGGTCATCGAGTTCCTTCAGTTCGAAACTCAAAAGTTGTGTCATACCAACAGACCCTATAAGCGGGGAAACAGATACGGAAAAAAAAGAAGGCATTTCCGTGGATAATAACAAACAACCGGTAAAGAGGTCGAGTTACAAACTTGCAATGCATAATAATGATGATTTCACATTACACGACTTTTTCTCGGCATCTGTAGAGGCATTGGCCGCACTTGATGCCACACTTGAAGACGTCACACCACTGGACATCAGTAATAACAGTGACTCATCCGGGTCTTTCAAGAGTAGTAGTGACAATATTGACCGACACATCAAAGAAGAGAATCCAAAACGTCTTTCGGAAGACAACGACTTGCCACATAAAGAACATGTAAAACGGTGCCATAATGGACGCGAGACGAAAGAGGATGATACATGTCCGGAACAGGACTATGTTGAAATGTCTTTCTTGTCCGGTGAACCAGATGAGCCGATACCTAAAGTTCCTGACAAGGTCTACCTTGAAGAAACTTCATCACGCGATAAACTGAAATGTGATGAGACGGCTGCATTATCGAATTTACCTAGCACAGAGGTTGTGTTTACTGATGACTACATTGATATGGCGACAATACCTGCAAAGCAAGTGAATGTTTGTAAGAACGCGTTACAGGACGAAGGAAGCAAGGATGAGTCGAATGACTTACCTGGCAGTAAAGGCCCTATTGAGAAGATAAGGCTACGGTGCAAGCGTGTTAATGTTAAGACTCCGGTGCCATCTGTTGGTGATGATAAAAGTGATACATCCTACAGTTCCGATACCTCTTCAGAAAGTTCATCTAGCGAGTGTGATTCAGAGGAATTCACTACCCCACAGGAATCAGGGAACAATCGAAATCCCTCTGAACAGGAAGAAATTGATAAAAATATACCTTTTATGGACAGTGGTGATGAGGCAGAAATGAAAACTACAACAGAGGATAGCACATCTCCAGTATATTTCTGAATTTAGTCAATAATGCGGAACGTTTTGCTTCCTGTCATCAGGGAGCTCTTTTGGTCCGAGAGAATAGTATACTTGTTGTTGGCTTCACTTATATCAATGAAGACAGTATTGAATCGGATTGTACCTTACGTTTTGAAGTAAAACAACATTTAACAATAACATATTATGTCACTGTCAGTTTGATGTCTATTGTAAACATCAGAAGAACGTCAGATATTTTTTCAATCATTTTTGTACATAAATGTTAAATTAAAATATGGATGAAATAAAAATAAGTGTTCTCCCAAGTTGGATATTGACATAGCAAACATTGTGTGTTGTAGAGATTACGTATGGTGAAGTCTTTTAGATTGTGTTTATTACATTTGTACACTAAATATTTCTGGTATATGTTGAAATGACTCTAAGTTTATGAAATAGGTTAAGTGAGTAACTGAAGTTTACTTGTTGCTGTTAATCTTACTTTGGTCACCATAGTTACCAAGAAGATCACAAAAGTAACATCAACATACATTCAAAAGACATAGAGTATACTTAAAAGTGTTTCAGTAAAAACAAATATTCTATTTATTTTATTTTGCAAGCAAAACAGCCGAATTACTGGCATATTAAGTACGTATATAGAATGACTAAACTTTTGCGGACACTGGTTACTCATAACAAAATATAGTCCTTTTTTTAAAAGATCATTAACACATAAATGATTTTAATGTACATTAATTTTTATGCTCTTATTAAAAAATGTTCTTCATGTCACTGCTAGACAAAAGCTGCTGTAAAACGTTCAGAGAGAGTTTGACCTATCGCAAATTTTACGCGACTGAAAATATGGCGGCAGCCTAGCTGGTGCTTTCGATGACACGAAGCCTCCTGAAATGTGTAGACCCACTTTCAAGACGTTCGGTTGCGGATTGAGGTTGCACTTTGATAAGGTAATTTGAGTTCCATCGCTTGCTGACTTCCATGGAAATGAAACGTTTAACATGGAAATGAAAACCATGGCACTAGTTAACAAGCTCTTCCGATTCTGTACCGGGCTTTATAAGATGATTTTGTACTCTCTGTTCATTGGTTTATGTCTACAAAATTGTTATTTTTCAATTTCTCTATGTTTTAGTGATAAAAATGTAACAAAATGTATTATATGATTTGCCATAATCATCTTTGTTTAAATAATAATTATAATGATCAATGTTCATTGTAATCTGTTTATTGTGATAGAAAACGAAGATACAACAAGAAAGCAATGCAAAATATGAACAACAGCAATGGCCATATTTTACTACACAAACGGAGAGGCATCTTAATCAAAACAAAATGAACATCAAAAACAGATAAAAAGTTTTTAATCAAAACTGGCTTGATTTAAATTTACCATATAACAGGTTATCATACCATTTTGTCAAAAATAGAATATTTCATTCATGTTATATATTTGCCATTAAAGATGAAGAACAGAAACCATTTGTGCAGCTCTTTGTCAATTGAAGTTCTAACTCAACGTTGCGAAAATAGCGAAATGTTGTCAACTGTTGAAGGATTAAAACGAAAATAGTAAATTGGTTATACGATATTTTATGACCGAATCTGGCATAGAAAGAAAACTTGAAACAACAAGGTATGGATATCCTTTGCATTTAAATATAACAAAAACCTTAGTAATACATGAAAATTATGGTTGAACATTTCTTTCCATGTGATAACAATTATTTAAGTTCCTGTTTTTTTTTTTTTTTTTTTTTTTGGGGGGGGGGGGGGGGTATTTTATTTTTGCTATCACCTGTGATTTAGTATTCTGTCATTTACACTGTTTTTTAGTGACAATGCATTTTGTTTAAATTCGGATTGGCAACAACTTTGAAACGGAGACGACATCAATTAAAATGAAATCATCATCAGTCTAAAATTCAAGTTCTCTTTCACAAACAGTAAATATTTTTGAAGGGATCAAATCTTTACGGTTGATGAGAATATCATAAACTGGGAAGTAAACTTTTTTTATAAAAATGAATAACAACCACAACGTTTTTTTTTATAAATTTCTAGACTGTTCCTGATACCAACAATTAAATATTACACTCAAGTTCTAATATGTACATGTCTTTTACGCCTAATTCGAAAATATTACCGGGTTATACTATAAAAAGCATTTACTATAAAGGTATTTTATTCGATGGTTCTAATTTTGAAGCAAGTTTCAAAATATCGTTTTTTTCGTTGTTTTAATCCATAAAGCATAAACAAGAAAACAAGAGAGAAAAAATAATCTGGGAGAGGAGACTTAGTCGGCGCTGATATATTTTCTCTATTTACAATGTGTTTTCAAAATTGATCAGCATTTAACGATTTAAAATTTTGTCGTTTGACCTGAAGTTAGCCATAATGCAATATAAAGTGAATTCTAGCATAACATCTTGGACGTTCTTAAACACTTGTTTATCTATAGTACTTATAAAGTCGAAAAGAGCGATTTTGAAGAAATTTCTTTTGTGGAATACTTTTTGACGACGTGATTTGGTTAGGAGCAATGTTTCTTGTGGTTATAAAATATAGCATTACTGAAAATAACACTCAATGAATTAAAGGCACGTTTACTTTAAAGGAGAGTTTTGGAAATATTGGGATAATTTCTTCCCTCCATAAAAAGTATGTTAAATGATGGGGGGAAGAGGGGAAGTATTAGTCCAGTAGTCTTTATTCAGGTTAATTAAAGTTTGATTACCTCAAAATCGGGTGTCGGTTTATTTACATATAAAATGATTTAAAAAAAAACTAATTCTAATCCACTACAAGATATTTGTCATATCAACATGGCTTCAGCAATTTAGATAGAGAAAGGAAGGATGGTGACACGTTGTTACAGTTAAAACGATAAACAATGGTTGTCAAAACGTTCGAAGCTTGATGGATACATCTGCCAATGAAGTCCTGAAGTATGCAATATATTTCCAGGTGTCTGGTTTTCGCAATTTCTCAAAATTACAAAATGTTTAACCTCTCGAAAACAACGTTTTAGGTAGTTAGCACTCTAAAATATAAAGTGGTACATGTTATTTTTGCTTTAATACAAAATTACATCCAATGGTAATGTCTGTATTATAGGTCATACGCCTTTATGGAAGGGTACATGTGACGCAGGACTAGGGGTGGAAGGGAGTCCTTGGATAGCTTGGTATAGTGCTAAACCGCTGTAATACATCCCGACAAAACAACATACAAATCCTAATATTATAACTCCAATGTCGAATACTTTGGAGTACCAACGTAATACCCTCCATTTGATGTACAAATGAAAGTAAGATGGCCACACTAGGGACAGCATGGTCCCAGTGAAGCTTCCAATAAGCCCCATTAGAAGGGCAAAGAACGGTACAAATATGGCCATCAACATTGTAGCTAACACAAGTCCCAATCGGAGTGCAACTGCCCAGACTTTTAGAGTCTTTTTGTCGTCCAAACAGGAAGGAAACACTGCCTTAGATCCCGTACTAAACAATGCAGTGTCTATCAACTCCACTGCTGCGTAATACGGCAGCGGATACGAAAACAACGCCTTGACGACAAGAAACATGTTGATGATTATTTTGAAAATTTCCGACGATATGTTATTGGTGATTACTTCCTGTGTAGCACTTCCCCAGGTAAGAAAGCCTATATATCCAAATAAAGATTTGAATAACGCAGCGGCAAAATGAGTCCAGTTCATCATACAAGAAAATTTGCTTTTGTCGACCATGTTGCCTTCCAAAGTAGGTACAAATATTTGTGACGTGTAACTAAACACTATGATACCAAGACATATTGGGAATGACCATATGTCCAGATGAACTTTAACCTCTTGTACTTTCCATTGCGCCGCTTTCGTTATACAGAAAATAAGTACAATGGCGTTGATGATAAGATGTGCAACGGTGCACCAGAAGCTTGACCAGGACACGCTGCGAAGTGACTGTAGAAATGCACAAGGGATCAGAAATGCCGTACTTATCATGATCCAAGACGATAGATCGACGGGTAAGTTAGGAAAGCTACCGACGATCAAATCACCGCTTAAAACCATATACAGAATACACGTCATCAGCAATTCGATAATCTGAGCAAAATTTACAATCCTTCCTCCAATTACCGACCCAAAGGCAAAATCAGCTACCTCCACGTAACTCTTTCTGACTCTGACCTTGACCCCAAATTCGTTTTCCTCATACAGACAGTCGACAAGGATCTTTCCCGTGTAGCAACATATACCAGCTACCAGCACGTTGGCAACCACGGCCCAGTAGCCACTCTTCAGGACAACGTAAGGTAAACTAACAATTACCATACCCTGTCAAAGAAACAGAAAATTGCTGATGCTGAAGGCTGAATTTAGGCCTGTCTCTCCTAGTCCCCAACATTTAAGTGACGCAGAAAATTTCATTACATTTCTCAACAAGTAGTATACCAATAAAATATATATTCAAAGTAGGAATAACCCCATACAGTTTCTTTACATTAAGAAATGTACCTTATCGTGACCTTTCTGGTTCAGAATTTATGAAAATGTAATTAAGAAATATAGTAAATAGTTTCTAATACAATTGCTTTGTGTTAGAAACTAAAATATTCAGTCAACTCCCAAGATAAGCGTTCTGCGTTCATTTGTATAGCATTATTCCTTCGTAGTATGAAATACATAACTACACAATAACGGGATGATGTGTGAATATTCTCGAAAACAATATCTTACAATATTGCATTTTTATACTTCAGACTAAGTTCAATACTCAGCACGGACAAATTTAAAACTACCTCCAAATTGCATGTTTGATTTTTCTTTGGATGATATCTTGTTTTTGCACTATATAAACACTTAACAGTCATCACTTAATGGGGTTTTTAAAAGGGGCATACGCCCTTAAATGGTATGCTTGTAGATCTTTGATTTTGTATTACTAAATTTTACCTGTATGGCATTTGTGATGTTCCATGCAGCCTGCCATTCGTTGATCTGATCCTTTGGATCAATGCCAAATTCATCCGAAGAATTCGAATGAGTAAATGTTCCATTAGTAAGTTCACACAGTTCTTTCTCATTTTCGGACGTGGAGTATTTCACAAAATGCAGCTTTTCTTCTTTTGTGGCATTGAATTTTGGAAAAAAAGATCGAGCCCACCGGAAAGTACCAGAAACAGAGAAAGGCATTGTGCTTGTTTCCTTGACCCTTTCTGAAAATAAACATATATAATTATTGTATTATTGGTATAAAGAATAAATACACACACAAGTAAATAACACTTTTAAATTCAAATCTGGAAGTTGAATTAAGCTGCATCATACCGCTGTTTCGTCCTGTTAGGACTCATCAGTGATAATATTTCACCTTAAGTTTCGAATTGTAGTAGGGGACTTCGGGAAAAATCAATTATGTCAATGATTGTCTAGAGTTGCAAAATAACACCTAGTAGATGTTTGCATTCTAAACTGAGCCACTATTAAAAAGAATTAAAACGTAATATGCTGGTCACGGGTTATGTCAGGGACTATGCACCGCTGGCAGAGCCTTTCATTCTCAAAGAACTGTACAACATACGTGAATGGAAGAATTTGGTACAAATTCAGAATTAGATACTGCATCATGCAGCTGCTTCGACCACCTAGGACTCGTCAGTGAATAAATATTGAATGTTTCGATGGTTGCAAACCCTAACACATGACAGTCCTGATAATCATCAATTCTTATATAGCGAATATGCGATTAGAGAAATAGCATTCAGTAATTTACAAAAACGCCCCATTAAAACATTTAAGTCTATTTTTTCCAAAGAGCAATTATTCAAAACCTTTAAGCCTTTTTATAAAGATATGAATAATAGTTTGTGTGCAATATTCACTGGTACTGATTTCACAATTTCACTTCGAATCCATATTTAAAGTTATCAAATCTCTATATCAAAAGTAATCACCAGTTTATATATGCTGTATTTCGTTGAACTTTATAGACACGTTAAATATACATATACTATAAGACGACAACGTTATAATGCATATTTCAGTGGTAATATTGTCTTACCGTTTAGCACCGAAGTATTACAATAGCACGTTTGCAATTTATACTTGTTCTACTGCAAGTATCGTTGACGCGCAAATTCATCATAGTGCTATTTGTAGTAATACACTAAAATTTGATTGCGCCAAATCAAGTACGTTTACCCTCAGTACATATTCCATATCAATTTTCTATGTGTCATTGGAGTTGAAATAAAGACGATTTCTTCTTCTGTGGTTAGTATTACAGTTTACAGAGTAAATATTAGGTTTACATTGTACGAAAATACATTGTGAAAACAAAACAAAATAAAAACGAAATATATTGTATTTATATGTTTGGTGATATCAATCTTTCAAAAGCCAGCTCTGAATTAAGTTACACCCATTATATTATTAAAGGGACATGCTGGGTGTTAAGCAAACGTGCATAGCTGACATCATATCTCAAAATTATATATGTTGCCAAATATTCAACAAATTGACATGCATGTTCACATATATCACCTGATAAGTTATGGAGTTTAATCTCAAGTCATCAAAACACTTTTTATGTAACAGATACCAATGGCACGCCTTAGGTGTCCTTTAAAACAAATAGATTCCTAACATGAAAGAATGGGAAATTGTCTAAAACTGGTTCTTTAATAGGGACTTTTAAAGGCAAATTCGTCTGCTAACACAAATCTATTTAGAGGGTTAATAGCAATTTGCAAGGTACCGATTAACAATGTAAAGGTCAGAGAAACGAATCTTCATGACATTAGCGAAAATAGAACAACAAAATTAACGTTAGTCAAAATAACACTAAAAATTTACCAACTAACTTCAAAATAAAAAGAATTATTATCTTTCCTGACAGCTGAATCGTAACGAAATTGATCAAAATGCATAACACTGATGATTTTCAGGGTCGAAAACATGAACAAGAATAATTGCTTTCAGAGAATTTTTCAACGATGAAGGAAAAACGATAATAGATAAATGTATACTTATCCATTTATACCGCTTTAAATCGACCCGTCAACTAATGATAAAGTTTAGCAATCACATCAGATAAAAACGTGTATTTATGGAAAAATCAAATTATAGATGTATATAAAACAGAGTTACATTGTAAAAAGGATAGTGGTACTTACAGAGATGAGAGTCTTGGTGCGAGTCTATTCTGTTGGTGTGTGTAGGAGCACTGACATAGCTTTATGCCTTCTAGTGTAGTAGCACTTCACACTGCTGGACTACTCCCCGTCTATGTGGACCTATCGAACGCGAAAAGCAACTGACATTTTATGTTGGCACGCCCCCACGTGAGAGACTGATTTTAAATACCGTCATATATAGAATAATTTACTGTTCTCGAATGGAAAGCGGATAAACACCACAACTTTACTATGAAAAGGTTTCTAGCAATCTCAAAATAATGACCATCGTTTTTTTTGTTTTTGTTTTTGTTTTTGTTTTTTTTTTATATCGAAGCGACATTTTTATTCTGAACATTCTTAGAAAACAAAAACATTAATAATTACAAACGGATCAGTCACCCATATTTTGTGTCATTCATCGAAAGTTTATAAAAAGTAAATAAGAGTGATATTGCTTTAAAGGAGACAAGGCTCTCTGCGTTATTCTATTTCCTTACGTGACATGAAGCTTAGTGTTTCGTTGTAATGAACCTGATTCTTGCTTGAAAATGTGACATTGTTTACTTGGATGAGTAAAATTTACCTTTCGGGTGTCGTCGATGAATCTTGAATCGCTACTATTTTGTACCATTTCAAGGATCGTTGTGTAAATCAGTGATCGTACATTCGTAGACCACATATAAACACAAATTAAAAAGACTAACTCCAAATAATCGAGTACTTGAATAGATGTTCAGTATTTGAATGTTGTGTGACATCCATATCATGCAAAATATATTTTAATGTTGGAGCAGGTCCAAAGCAGGACAACCAAACAATTAGCCAAGGTGGGATATTTCTATATGTCCAGAAAGGTAAAGGTGACCAAAAATACACTGAGTTAGGTGTAACATCTATGATGGAAGAGAGTTTAATTATTTAAATATGTAACTCTTTCTGTTCTTATTCTTCTTGTCTCAATGTAAATCTTTCTTTTGTTCATATTTTATTCTAGTTTTATTGAATTTTAGCTTGGATGATGTTGACATGTTAGTACTTATTATTATTTCGAAAAAAACCTCGGGGTCATAACAAAACGTGTACCCCAAAAAGTCAAACGTAGATCAGAAAGCCCATTATTTCCTTAGCATGCTGTAAGGATATTGAAACATAGCCTCGTTGGACAACTGGCATCTGCGTCCTTGGTAAATACTTAAAGACCGACAATATAGACACTAGATCGGCCATGTTTAGCGTGAAATAACATTTCATTCTATGTACATGTGTTATATACACTTTTATACCAAATCTATGTTTTTGAATCCGATAAGGGGAAGGGGTGGGGGTCAACAAATTCTGAACCGGGAAGATAAACGAAACTTAATTCGCCCTTTCTTCACATTTTGTCCTCGTTTCAACAATCTTTGAGATTTTGTTGTCGTTGATGACGTTCTTCTCGGGTGAATTATACATCCATGGCGTTTATTATTAAATAAACAAATTCTATAATGTGTTTTAAACAGGTAAAGAAATCCTGTCACAACAGGGTTAATTAAGATGAGGACGGGGGTCCAGCGAAACACTTTTCCTGTGCTTATTTTATTAATTTACTTATTTTCTATCGTGTTCTTTATATTTCATTTATTTTTAATATTACCGCCGATTCTGCTGTATTGTTTATTTTCATGTAGGCTTTATTTTCGTGGATTTTGTGGGCATTTGTATAGCGTTAAAAATGACATGGATTGTTAGCATTATTGAATATTTTGGTGTACTCTGAATTCAAGTGCAATAAGTGTGTTTCTTTTGAAATGAAATTGGAGTCCCACAAAAGATATATAGTTGAAAATATTTACTTCGAAGACGCATTTAATCTATATACAGGTAAAAAATTATTTTCGCGGGGCTCTAATTTCGTGGTTTTCCAAAATTATACGTATTCATTGGCACTGGATTTCGTGGATGAATTTCGCCTTGAAAATTCACTAATACTATTATCCATTTCAACTTAAATCTGTTTATCATTCGCATATTCCTATAATCCATGAATTCGAAAATGATACCACTCTCCTCCCCAATCCAACAACCAAACAAAATAGGCTAACGTCGAGCTTCAGAAAGATTTAGATACGTGTAAACATATGCGAATAGACAAGGAAAGAAGCAGAGGGTAGAATGAAATTGAACAAGCCTACCTTCTCAGTGGAAAAAGGATATAGGAGTAATAATAGACTCAGGTCTATCATTCGATTAACGCATTCCAGTAAAAGTATTTTAAAAAGCAAACTCTATACTCGCACTTCTAACAATTCATGGACATCAAGTCATTACTCTACTGTATAAATGCCTAGTAAAAACGCAGTTTGACTACGCCAGCTCTGTTTGGGCACCACAGCTACAAAACACAATGACAAAAGAGATGGAGTTCAGAGAATGTCTCCCGGGAATGAAGGACCTGACCTACAGTGATAGGTTGATGAAACTAAAGCTACCAACACTGACATTCAGGAGAATTAGGGGAGACATGATAGAACTGTACAAAATAACAGGTGAAGTTTATGATAATGAATGTCGTAATGCAATAAAAGTATAGAAAGATACAGCTGATATATATACACGACATATAAGTACTACAGACGTTTAATTTCGCTGGTTTTGTCACTTTGGTATTTTGGTGACAAGTGTTTTCTTTCGTTAATTCCTTAAATGTTATACTGTAGAGCTTTATTTTTCGCGAGAGATAAATATTCAGTAAGCCTTACCTGCGAATTCATACGTTCGCCGATTATTACAAAACAATGCTATAAATAAACATTATTTCCTTTGATCGTGAATTTAGTGTTGAGACTGAAGTCTACAAATATAGTTCGTGAACCTGATAGAAGTAAAACCTGCTTTAATGAATAGAAAACATTCTGGATAGTAGGAAACCCTTTTTCGTGTAAGAAACTGAAAACTCTAAACAATGAGAACTAAACGCTTTTTTCGAATCACCAAGTCGATTAAACTTAAGCTTTAGTAAACACAAATACTGAATACAAAACACAGAAACAATCTTGTGAATGGTTCTCTGATGTTTAATCACGTTGTCTCGGTCAATAACTATTGTGTGACTGTTTTTCAAGTTGCATGTAGAAGTTTTTTCAACAATGTAAGGAGATTTATAAAAAATATTTGCGGAGTCGTGCATTTTCGAAACCCGGATAAGTACTAGAAGATTTGTTTTCATGGCCGAAATATTGCTATTGACCATACTTCATAGACTGTGTTTGGTGCTCCAGTATAACAACAGTTCAAGTAGAACGAACGGAAAGACGGATCAAATTGTCCGAACTCCGACAAAAATATAATAAGTGGAACATTGATTTACAGATCACGTGATTTTTAGCTACAGAGGAAATTCTTTAGGTACGGTCCGACGCAATCATATTGGTAAACAATTCTGCTTTCAGTTACAAACATTTGTAGCAGACGACCGATGTCGCTGGCTGTCACAAGTACCTCTTAACTCTAAGGGTTATTAATTTTCTCCCTCTGACAGGGTCTTAACCTTTAAATCATTTTCCAAGAGTAAGGCAATTCTACAGCTGTTAAATTACAAAGCAAATTGCCCAAAACATCCAAACCAGCACAACACTATTGACATCCTCGTCGTGGAATTATTCAATAAGCTTGGCCATTAGCATCTACACAATCCAACAGCTGGTGGCAATGTTCTCTTGTACGAATGGAATTTCACATTTCTTTGCAGTCAATCTGTAATTTGTCCATTTAAGAATAAAATAAAAAATACTTGGTGGGAGTTTTTGATGATTAATATTCCTCCAAACAGATAATTATTTTTTGTGCGTAGTTATCGGTAAAAATTCTTTGAAATCTTAACATGATTCTTCTTCCTAACAATATTTCACGCTGGAAATGTAAACAAGACATTCACCATTGCTGAAATGTGTTCTATCCCTGACTTGCGGTCTAGATTTAAGCTAGACTTAGTCCTGTACGTGTCTAAAGCACAATATACTTTTGTTACTTAAGGAAAGGTTTTTGAAATTTTGTCTTCGGCTTATTGCAACTCTCCTTCCGAGCATTTTTTTAATCGATTAATATCTTGAGAATACCAAATATAAAGTTTACATTGAAATCTAATAATAGAAATGTCTTATTCAACGTGCTTTCATTTGTTTGAAAATTTCCTTTTTCAAATAAGGTCTTTTGGTCGAAATTCTAGATACTTCAAATTTTTGCAATTTATTTTCATTATTTTGTCTCCACCAATCAAAAACAGCAGGAAAACACCATCATGTGAATATAATCATAATTCAAACTCAAATTCAATAAAACTAAGGTAAAACATGAACAAAGGAAAATCTACAAGGAGACTTTCCAAAAAATACAAGACTAAAGATTTCACGTCTTCTGCTTCATCGACGACACCCGCCATGTAAACCATGGTCGATCCAAGTAAGGAATGTCACACAAGGAGAACAAGGTATTCAACAACGGGCAAACTAACGTGCATCAAACACATCCAGCTTCGTATCGTACAAAGAAAACAAAAATTTCTCAATGAGATCACTATGACGACCGTAAAACTTCCCCGTGAGTTTAACCAACCTGCTTCTTTAGAAACCATGTGTTACGAGTTTGACGACTTCTTGCACGAAAATCGTGATAATGGGAAAAGGCGCTTGAATTTCGAATCAACTGCGACATGTAAATACCATATGTTGGGGATGAAGGAATATTGCTACAGAAATGGAAAATTCACAACAGGGAAACTGAAATCATGACGCTTTTCAGCTTGGTAGAAAGCTGCCCATGTTAGTTTCGTTGTTGGAAAAGATCGATATAAGCGGTTGATGAAGAAGAGTCTGCCGTGTCCTTGATTTCCAATTCTAATGGGTATATAAGATTGGCGTGGTCAATAAATCCTTAGTTATTTAAAGACAAGACGTCATCGGTGAACCTGAAAGTGAAATTAATTGACTTTGCAAGGTCTTTGTGACTTTTAATAAACTCTTCCAAGTGATTAAGTGATCGAATCATTTACGTATCCGAGTAATTATGTATCTATAAAAACCGACGACGTAACCACCAGAAAAAAACACCTCCGGCTGCCGTGTCACCCTGCAATATGTCCAGACCTACAGGACTTTTCGTTGCTTTGAATTTCTTTATCTTTTCCATTCGAATGGATTTATCTAATCCTCAAAGTATGATATCCCTGTTTTGTTAAAATATAACACTTATTGGTACAAATCGATATATCGCTCTATCTGCCATGTAATTCGATGTAAAAAAAACGTTCGCGCATGAGAATGGAATTTTTCTGTGATCAAATGGAGGCGACAGTCCCACGATCTCCCAAGTTGTCTTAACTCATTGACTATTGCCATCAGGCAGTTTTCATATTTTGTTTCATCATGTTTATACTGTTCTAGTTGTGTCCCCTTGACTCGTCCTAATTCTAGGTCTCGACGACAAACGTCAGTGTCATCTCCCTCATTGGGTGGAGCCGTGTCACCGAGTCCAGACTGATAGCCGGAAATCGATAGAACGCTAAAATAATTCGGAACTGTGACAAAATTGGATCAATATCACCTAACAGCAAATACAAACGATTTTTAAAATATTTCAAAAATTGTCACTGTCTATCCGTGTGTGACCTTGCATATTGCATGTAATGGTCACTAAAAAATTATTTTGGATTTTTACAAAAAAAATTTAAACAGTTATACAAAATGTATGTATTTGACCTATAACCTTACTGAAGTTCAAGGTGATTCTCAAATAAACCTCGAAAGCGGCTCTCAATCAAATTGACTTTCGGGTTTTAAACATATCGGTAGCATTTTTTGTGCTGATTAACGATCTCCAATCAAAATATGTATCAGTGAATTTAATTGAATTTGATAATTGTCTACATAAGCTTATCTCTTTGTAAAACACACATTTTGCAAGAAAAAACTTGTGTTCATTGGTATATGAAATCACGTCAAATTATACACCAGTTACCTGGACTGATGTCCTGTAGTGTCTACTAAGACCTACTAATGTCTTTCCCTATATTGACTGATGCGTCTCCTCAGTCCATCCTTACCCATGTGTCTATTAATCCATGAACTGGTTAACGGGAGACCTCTAGTTGACTGCAGTGTCTTCCTTGTCAATCTGAGGTATTTAAAGTGTCTACCTGCATGTTCTCGTCTTTCCAAACAAGAATCTTTAGGAACCCCCTACTGACTTGTCCCCAACCGGTACCTGATGTTTTTCTTTCACATCTGTAAACCAGTTTGTCCTAAGCTGAGATGGACCATTTCATAAGATTTATGACAGGAGGCTGCTTTGGTCCTTTCATTTTTGTTTTACCATACTTCTGCTGAGGTAAAGTGAAAAAAAGTTTTGATAAGTATCCGAAATCTCCTACATAAACAGAATAGAAATGAATGAAAGATTATGTTTATCAAATAACTGTGAACACAGAATTTTATTGAAGTCCAACATCTAAATTGATGATATTGTCAATCATTATCCGTTTCTCTGGGGATATCTCACTGAATGACACTGAGAAGTTATGTCCATGCTATATTAGTAATCAATAGTAAACCTCTTATGTCAAACTGAATGAATGCATGTAAGGATTGTGTGATGCGAGTCTGATTCACTTGAATATATAACAAAACTTCTAACAATTTTAAGACATTTATTACAACTTCACTATATATGATAACAAAAGGGCTTTATCTTGTCATCTTAAAAATATGAAGACGGGATTGTAAACCACATGAAGGTATTTCAGTGCTACAGATAATATGGAGTGGTTCTTGGTTTCTATGCGATGAAGTACTATACAGGTCACAGATAAGTGCAAAAGATGACTGTGATATTTGCACCAATGCTAACTAGATGCTGCATTGTCTCCGATATACCATATAGATGTAGAAACACGTCAGGTGTACTGGCCAAGAACAGGATGGCACCCCGTAACTTTTACACATAACAAAAGAAAAGGAATATTGATCGATGTGAAGTAAAAAACAATAAATTTGAAACTTTAACCATATTTTAACTAGTTAACAACCCTTTTACCTTTTACTTCTCTCTAGGACACTGTCGTTCAATAAAAGCCACTTCGGTGAAAAAATGTTACTACCAATTAGCTTCTACGATCTGTTTAACTGTAATAAACTGCTAAATACAGACAAAAACAATGCAACTTAAATTTACTAAAGCTATCATACATTCTCAAAAATGCTACTCTACAGCAATTGTTTATCACAAAGAAGTCTTTTGCTCCTTTGCTAGTTTCTTTTTGGCCGCTTTCCATAGTTGCTGTATCAAAGAGGTAAATTCAATTTCTCTGTACCTACAGTGGTATACCATATATAGTTCATATGAAGACATTTGGTGGACAACATCCTTAAATATGATGATGCTAGTAGCAATCTTCTATCATCTAGTCACATGATCACTATCAAAATAAATAATTGTGAGAAGATTTGACAGTAAACAATTTTAACGACCATGAGGGCACTCCTGGCACTCTACCAACAGAAACTTCTTGGTCAGTGTTAAAACAGAAACAAATTCGCCTCTCATTTAACAGAAAGCATCTGCCTAAATATAGCAAAATTACAACTTTTGAAGTTTGTACAAAAAGTGGAGTTCCCAGATTAATTTCATAGTATTTTGTTTTAATCCTAGCTGGATTGATTTTGTATCTCCACTTTCAGTCTCTCACACACTCAGTTGTATACTCCGTTATTTACAACTGTTTAAATTCTCAACTGTCTGTCGCCTTGTAATGGTCTTCGTCTATCGTGGAGTATATGTGTCCCTCGCTGCTAAGGAAGTCTATTGCCTCTCTGCAAAATAAATTAAAGCAATTCAAAGCTAGCATCAGAAAAAGCTGAAATTTTTTTATGGCAGACCTACTTTTTTTTATTTCCTTTCTTTCTCCAAAGTCTGTTTCATATCGAATTACATTTATTCAATCTGAAATAGTTAACATTTTCTGATAAAGAAATTACTGAACAAAGCAATAAACACATTTTTTTTTGGACCAGGCCCAAAAGTAACAGATTCAAACTTTTAATGACAGTGGATCTGATCTTGACCTGAATGAACTGGAAGCACATCTTATTCAGACACTAGGAATTCATTCTAAGTATGTAGGGAGCTCCATACCTAAAGTAGTCAAGATGTATGTGATAGATAGAATGGCGGCACTCTTGAAAGGTTAAAGAATTCCTAAATATAGCCTAAAATATTTAAGGCTGAGTTTTACCTGATGGCCTTCTCCGGCACACCTCTCAGTTGTTTGCAGACCTGCTCTACATTGGCTCCTTGATCTGTCATGTTATTTCTGATGATAACATGTACCTGTAACAATGCACAACAAAAATCACCACACACCGTGTTTAAGGACAGAACTGATATACGCCTAGCCTGATGTTTCATTTCATGAATTTACTATCTTTATATAAATTTTAATAATGGGAGAATTTTTTTTTTAAATCAACATTTCTCATTTTCTTTCTTAAATACTCAAATGGGTGGATTCTTAAAAACTAGAAAGAAATTAATTTTTTTATCTAATGAAAATAAATATTCAATGATATGATTTTCAGGACACCTGTTTTTCCTTCTTTGATAAAAAGCTGTATGAGGACCAATTCTTAAGCTCATCAACTAGATTTTTTAAGTATTTTGAAAACTTTGTTCAGGGCTCATGGACAGTGTATCAAAGACAACATCTACATGTTAACAATTACCTGGTTTTGGGTGGCAGTTAATCCATTAACAGCCCCAAATCCTGACACATCTCCACTTCCCATCGTGTTATTGTTTAAACCATTTGATTTCATATGGTTGGAAGATTGCTAATAAATAGAAGTCACAATACCATTAACATTAAACTGAAACGGCACACACATACATAAAACTTCAATGTACACGCGGAATCATTGGATTGGTCATAAACTTTTATCCTTAATCATCAATCAACCATTTTGTTAACATCAGGCATCTTCTACTGAAAAAAGTAGCCGCACTATAAAAGAAAACCATTTTTGTTGATTGCCCCACCAACAAAATGGTGGGATAATTCTAAGCTTCACAGATCTGAGACAAAAAGAAACATGCAGGTCTACTAAATGCAGTGACTGTATTTAACATTATGTTTCAGCAACACTGACCTGTTTCTTTCACACCACTTTAGACAAATTTAAAACTGACAGAAGGAGTTTCCAATTATCTACAAGTAACTTTCTTCCTGCATCTACAAATATCTATTGCATGTCACTGTAAATCCTACACAAATCCTTCATAGAAATTCAGTGATGCGAGAGATATCTAAACATTTTTTAGCAGTGTACCAATTGTATTTTACAACACTTTGGTTTTCTTATTTTTCACATGCTTATTTCCTTCACCTGGACACATACCTGTGATAATGCTGCATGACTATGGATGACTTCGAGCATATGACATGTTAATTCGTTCATGTCTGTGAGGGGCATCATCCGGAAAGCCACCACACTTCTCTTCCCACCAAAGGATCGTACGTGTCCGTTCACTCGAACATAGGTATTTTCCTGCATTGCTGAAACTCTCTCAGAGTCTGGTGTGCTATCCTATCATACCAAAGACATTTGTGAATATATTAAAAAAAAAGGCTCTCGGGTACTAAATACAATATATAAAAAACACATTACCATATAGTATGTCCAACACCGATTTGAAGAATAGGATGTAAAATATAACAAAGAAAATTTTCTCATTCAAAATGCTGGTGGCTTTGCCTCACTTGATTATCGTGATAAAATGATCAGCATAGAACAAATTAATAAAATATGTTGAAACACCCATTTATATGTTTATTGTGGATATCTCAATGATGTAAATCCTCTAAAATCAGAGGGTCCTTTTATTTCCTAAAGTACCTTGTCCAATATTAAATCTCTTCTCGTTAAAAAATAAATATCTTCATAATAAAATCTATCAACAGCTGTTTCTCCCTTTTAATGATCTTATCACAAACAAAATTTCATAAAACAAAATTTCCATTTAATTTCAGTTTGTCCCTGGATTTCCTTGTGCACCCCCTACTTTGGACATTAATTTTCCCAAAAAAAAAACAACTGCACATTATGTAATCATTACAACACTGAGAAATACATACATCATTATCTACAAACTGCTTCACTTCAAATGGAGGCCCGGTCATATCATCAATCTCATAGTCAATACGTGTCGGAGCTTCCTTAACTGATCTTACGATTCCAACAATCGTAACCTACAACACAAACCATAATGTACATAAAGAAAATACAACTTAATTGTGTCATTAAAAACAATTATGTAACCAAACCAATTACATTACACATCTACAAGATTCACCAAAAACTTGAAGTTGTAAGAAGTCAGAGAAATTGATCCTTTGCAACATTAAAGTTTAAATTTCTGATCAAAATCCATTTAAAGTTAACATTACTGGTCATTCAAGTGCCATCTCCTGTGAAGTTCTACATTTTACTTGACAGCAACAGGAACAGCTTATAACCCATACAACCAGATAAAACCATATATTTACCTGCGACACTTCAATATCACCTGTGTAGAATTTTTCTTCACTTTGGGTTGCACTCAATATTTCACCCACAGTAACTGGGAGCAGGTTATGTGCACGATCCTTAATCTAAAAGGAAACAATCTTGTTTATTTGTATTCTATAAAATCCAGAAGGATCAACATTGTGCATATCTAATTGCTTTTTAGATTGTAATGTACTTGTATGTGTGGTATCAGTAACAATATAGTGATGTTCAGGCTTCCGACAGATCCAATGAAACCTGCTTGGTCACATGCAACTATAATTATACTCTAAATTTTTTTTCTAGTTCATATCTAAATTATGAACAACACTTTGAGCAATATTAATCAGCAATGGGCCATTTGGTTATACTCGTATTTAGTGAAATACCTCATTTTATATGATGGGAGTTCATCCAATTTTGGGAACAGCCAAAACAAAGAGTGGCCATACAATGTTACCGAACCAACTGCAATTACAGCCCCATAATCACACTGGCTTTTTTTGCAATCTAACACTGTAGTTATGGGGGCACCTGCCCACAAATGTAATCACATTTCTAAATACACAGCAATGCAATTATAATGCTATTGTAAAGTTATAGCAAATAAAACATTTTGATGAAAATTTTGGAGTTTGGACAGCTAGAAGCAAAATGATATACCTTTTTTTCTTGAGAAGCCTGTGGAGTACCAAATCCACCTGGGGACATGTAACCTCCACCTTCACCACCTTGCTGGTAGCCTGTAATTTGAACAGAATTGTATGAAAGTGAATTGTGGATTTGAGGATTTTTATGGTATATGCCAGTGTAGGGTATGATACTAGAATCCAGAAACTAAATCTAATCAATCAGCATTCTTTTGCCTCAGTAATAATGATCACTATGTCATTCCTTGACACTGAGTAAAACAAGTGCCAGCTTCAGACCACTCTCTCTCTAACCCTTACAAGAGCTTGATAATAGTATTCATGTGACATATCTGCTGGGTTAATATTTACCATCTGCAATTTATTCTGTTTATGAGCAAGTCTTAGGCATCAAGAAATATTTGTTACATCCAGAACAATTATTTTTTTGGAAAATTTAAAACAAGGTGAAACACCATTATAGAATGATGTTGCATCCTGACCAATAAAGGAGAAGACAGTTCTGCTTTGAATGATGGAGAAAATACTGCTGTTTATGTAGAGTTCCTGAATGTAACAGGACACCAAAGGCTATTCATTTGGGAATATATTTCTTTCTCAAGTACATTTTATAGTCAAATTCATGAAAAATTGCTTTCTTATTTAATAATGTATTATCATGAATATTTGTTACTTCAGTTTTAGGTCATCAAATAAGTTTCTCTCTCTGAATTGCAAAGTGAACAAAGTGGACTAGCAACTACACCTACTTTAAATAGTTTAGAATTTGTGATAAAAATATGGTGTGCTATTTGAAAGTGAAGCCTTTGAAATTTATTATATTTTGTGACTTTATACATAGGTGTACAAATTGTATTCCATTCTCTTTCATCAAACAGGAACTGTTCATGTCACAGCAACTCTATGATTTAGCGATGTCATCAGAAACAGAAGTGCAGTCACATGTCCAATACACGTCGACCATTTCAGGAGAGCCAATTTGAATCATATCTGTGGTATTTTTTTTTTTAGAAAAATACTGGTATTTCACCGATCAGTTTTTAAATAAATCTTAAAGTATGAACACATTTCAAGTCGTTTATTTATTTATTTGGTGGCAATGCATCAAAACAGTGTAGTCAGCGAAAACTGATTCTTGAGGGATCAGAAACCAATGAGCCAAGGATATTAATGATAAACAAATTATCTTTCACTTTCATAACTGACCCTGAAATTTTCATCAGGACCACATTTCCTCTCTCATTTTCTTAGCATTAATTCTCATATACATTCTAGATATGAAGGAACTTCTCCGATTCACAGTGGATGCTAGCTCTACTTCATAAACATACGAAAGGATAAAAAGAAATACTTAATGAAATCGGTTCGTTTATCAGGTACTGTGTAGACTTGTCTCCTCTCAACTTCCAGAGATGATGCGAATACAATCAAAATACAAATCTCCGTGGTATCGCAGTGGGGTGTTACTCTCTAGTTTATATTCAACATTGACATCTGGGCTGAGAAATTGGTGTATGGATTATGAGAAAGTTCGCGGAAAGTGGAACGACACCATGATTACCACGTGAATACTTTATATAAATACTGACAATATAGAAAGTTTTAGAAGTTCGGTGTATATAAATATAAAATAACAAGATCGATTTATGTGATAATCACCTCCGCCTTGGTTGTTCCACATTTTAACAGGTTATGTGTCGATTTCGTTCTTCAATCACGTTGTTGTTGTTTTGCGATGTCGGCGAAAACAGCTGAAGATGGCGGGAATACGCACTGTAATAATTGACCAATCAAATCGTTCAAAAGTCTTAAGCGACATCGCTTGTGCAAATGACAATATCTGTAAAAGTTACTTCCCCTCGACTGAAACACGAAAACGCCACACTTACGACCTCCCGACCCTACGTCCAGTCAGAGACGTATATATGTGATATATACGTCTCTGGTCCAGTACAGTAATATTAAACATGAAGGGAACCTCCGGATACAACGGTCATGGACTGATTTGCAGTCGGATTCGGGTCGTGTATCCTGGTTTGTAGCATATGGAACACTGTTAGGTAGGCCAATGGGGATAAACAGTTCTCGATAATTATTATACAGCACCGTATATTCAACACAGGTTCCATCCCACTGATGGGGTGTAGATCGCCCCCATCACGTCGCCAGAACACTGACATTCGTCGGTGAGACGATAATCGAACACGGAATGAGTCACGGAGACGAAAACCCTGTCAACCAACCAACTTAAACTAGAACACCTGGTTGAAACCATGGGTTAACCTTGGCCAAAACGATCAACGAAAATGGCCTAAGTTTACAGCACCGAAATCTGGAGGGTATCCAAAATGAGACACGTTTATGTCATTCGGTGAGGGGCGTTTCAGCATTTAAATGAATATAAGCAATTGGAACAATTTTATATATCCTCTGACGATACCCACCTTTTATATGTTGCTTAATTAAATAAAGTTTTCAAAAGTAGCGTACCATCTAATAACAACAAAAGCCTACAATATGGTATATTGCAGTATATTCAAACGTTAGCTTGTTTTCTCGCGAATTTTCCTGCTGTGAAGGACGATATGGAATAGATTTGTTCTATCAGAGGGCGGTGATGCTTGGCGCCTATTCCCAAATTAAGTGTATGCCTGTATGTAATTTTAAGCTTAAACTCTCAAGACAGGATTCTCAGATTTCCGCACCTGGGTATATTAAAATAATATGTCCTAGTCTTTACTAAGTGTTGTTATTTTTCGGGTCGGTCCGAAATGCAATATATAAGCCATCACCGCCATCTTGAAAAAAAAAGTCCAAATCTGAGCTGAAAATTCGCGGGAATGTTTAGAAAAGAAAGGTTACAAAATTTCAAGTGTAATTATATGGCAGCCACATGATTGCACAACTACTAAGTTCCACCAATGAGATTAATCTGAAACTTGTCAGAAACGATCATGGGATAAACTGGTCCAAGTATTGTTATTTTTTAGTTTAAACATATTTTATTCAACAAAGTTGTAAATGGATTGGTCACAGCATCTCCAAAATACAAAAAATAAGTACAATGTACATAATACAATTATGACAATACGTATTTCAAATCAACAACAAATGACTATTTATCGATATACCTAGTCGGTTAGAAATTCAGAATGGTCGCCATGATCGCCATCTACTGGTGCTTTTAACTAAAAATGGCGGGAATTCAAGAAAGGAAGCCGACAAAGTGTTGTTGTTTTTGGACATTCAAAACATCGACATCGCAATTATTGTTTCCTGGTCAAAACCTACTTTAAACATTCCAGTCCCAGGTTTCCCCTCGGTTTTTGTTTTTCGCAGTCAGAATATCTAACATGGCCGCCATGATGTATGGAGTTGAATACAAATTTGCCATGAGATAGTCATTTTTTCGGTTTCAACTTTACTCATTCATCACACCTTTTATGAATCAGACGAGTTCAAAAATATCTATTGTGCATGACGAAATGCTGGCGTGTACGCCTTTTTATATTTTTACAAAATAAGTGAATTTCCGCTGTAAGTTTTAGGTCCGTCTCCGATATCTGCAACTCACCACATATTTTCAAGAGAAATAAAATTTCTGCGTCGAAAACGACCGAGCTATATAGAATCTTACTCTTCTTGTTTTCTCAACACGATCGATATGGTATTTCAATTATGTTTTACATTAAGATATAAACCACCATCGGCAAGTTATCAAGGAAATGTTAACTCGCGCCGTAATGAATATTATGGCTTTTTTGGTGTAAAGTCCTTTATTACCAATTTACCATCATTCTGCGTTATACACACAATAGAATCCTGGCGGTTTTTCCTGACAAAACCGTCGTCGTTTGTGGTGTTGTTATGACTTTAAACCGTTCGACATCTCTTCATGAAACTTAAAACGTGCCTGCATCACCAAAGGCGACATGTAGTGTGCTAGAATTATGTCCCTTTAACCTTCACTTGAATAAGACCCAATAGGACAATATCTTTTGGACCGACAAAAATATTTTGATTGCACTTAAAACGTACATGTAACTGCATAACGTACTAGCTGTATGCAGTGCTATAAAGTTTGGTCACTGCGACTGCCGTACCTACATTTCCCACAAATGTGTGCAGTATAGTGATACACATTATTAGGTCACTGGTACCCGTTTTTTGTGATATTTGTGATAAGTTTATCAGAAAGAAACAGATAAATGTAAGATCCAAGGTCAGAGGTCAATGTGCGGGGCCAATTTTGCTATTTCTTTACTGGTAAATTATGTGCCAGAATTTAACCATTTAAATATGTCTGGGGATAAATGGGGAAATGACGTCATATTACCATACAATGTAGGTCGTGATTATGGGTCAAATATCAAGGTCTAGTTGTTTGTTTATCTCTCTGCATGTGAATCATATTTTGTTATGATCATGAAATACCTCCTTGGCCAATCAGTAGGAGAGACGCATGTTTTTGTTTACAAGAACAATTTTTCATTGTTAATGTTTGACGTGACTTGGGGGATGTTTACTTCCATGTCCTGTTTTACCTTATCATAACAATACACATGAAGTATACTTACTTACCGCATTCGGCCCGACGGAATACCTGTCAATTACCCCATTGTTGTGAAAATGTAAAAACCACAAACAAATAAATTATGTAGCGTTATGGTAAAATCACTATATCCGACAGACAATTAGTTAGCTGGTGCTATCGGGATTTAGTCCCGATATCGAAATAAAAATATTTTGACGTATCTGCATCAAGCTAAAAGTACATTATTTGTATCTTTGAATCACGCAATCAGTTTCGGTTGGTGATATTGACTTTCCCGCAGGACATTACGTGTGTGTTCACACTGCTATCCTGATGTCTGGACTTGTCCAACTATACGACACGGGCACCAAATTGTGGGGAACACTTAAACAAGACATATTTATCTGTAATCAATTCAACGTTAGACCCACTTCTTCTAAGTGTGTTTGCATATTCTATTATATAGTATAGTTATTTTCATACAAGGGAGAACATGTTTTCTGTTGTTGATTACAAATAATTAAATGACAAATTTAAGAAAGAAACGAACTCGTCGCTTTAGAAATCTTCAAATCTTTGCACAGAAAAGATACTTTAAAGCTAGGCTGTTTTAGCTGACTGATAATACAGATCTAGGCTGTTACAGCTGACTGATGTCACAAATCTAGGCTGTAACTGCTGACTGATGTCACAGATCTAGGCTGTTACAGCTGACTGATGTCATAGATTTAGGCTGTTACAGCTGACTGATGATACAGATCTAGCCTGCTACAGCTGACTGATGACACAGATCTAGGCTGCTACAGCTGGTAATGACACAGCTCTAGGCTGTTTTAGCTGACTGATAATACAGATCTAGGCTGTTACAGCTGACTGATGTCACATATCTAGGCTGTTACAGCTGACTGATGACACAGATCTAGGCTGTAACTGCTGACTGATATCACTAATCTAGGCTGTAACTGCTGACTGATGTCACAGATCTAGGCTGTTACAGCTGACTGATGTCATAGATCTAGGCTGTTACAGCTGACTGATGATACATATCTAGCCTGCTACAGCTGACTGATGACACAGATCTAGGCTGCTACAGCTGATAATGACACAGCTCTAGGCTGTTTTAGCTGACTGATAATACAGATCTAGGCTGTTACAGCTGACTGATGTCACATATCTAGGCTGTTACAGCTGACTGATGTTACATATCTAGGCTGTTACAGCTGACTGATGACACAGATCTAGGCTGTAACTGCCGACTGATGTCATAGATCTAGGCTGTTACAGCTGACTGATGACACATATCTAGGCTGTTACAACTGACTGATGACACAGATCTAGGCTGTTACAGCTGACTGATGACAAAGATCTAGGTTGTTACAGCTGACTGATGACACAGATCTAGGCTGTTACAGCTGACTGATGTCACAGATCTAGGCTGCTACAGCTGACTGATGACACATATCTAGGCTGTTACAACTGACTGATGACACAGATCTAGGCTGTTACAGCTGACTGATGACAAAGATCTAGGTTGTTACAGCTGACTGATGACACAGATCTAGGCTGTTACAGCTGACTGATGTCACAGATCTAGGCTGTTACAGCTGACTGATGACACAGATCTAGGCTGTAACTGCCGACTGATGTCACAAATCTAGTTGTAACTGCTGACTGATGTCACAGATCTAGACTGTTACAGCTGACTGATGTCATAGATCTAGGCTGTTACAGCTGACTGATGACACATATCTAGGCTGTTACAACTGACTGATGACACAGATCTAGGCTGTTACAGCTGACTGATGACAAAGATCTAGGTTGTTACAGCTGACTGATGACACAGATCTAGGCTGTTACAGCTGACTGATGTCACAGATCTAGGCTGCTACAGCTGACTGATGACACATATCTAGGCTGTTACAACTGACTGATGACACAGATCTAGGCTGTTACAGCTGACTGATGACAAAGATCTAGGTTGTTACAGCTGACTGATGACACAGATCTAGGCTGTTACAGCTGACTGATGTCACAGATCTAGGCTGCTACAGCTGACTGATGACACAGATCTAGGCTGTTACAGCTGACTGATGTCACAGATCTAGGCTGTTACAGCTGACTGATGTCACAGATCTAGGCTGTTACAGCTGACTGATGTCACAGATCTAGGCTGCTACAGCCGACTGAGGATACAGATCTAGACTGCTACAGC